GGCATCAACCAGGTCTTGTTTTTACTTCGAGCATGACGACGAATAAATATAAGAAAACATATGATGAATATAAACTTCAAGAAATTTTTGTTTTATTACCGTGTTCAAATTTATTATTGTCAAAATCTGCATTGAAAATAAATATGTATGTGTAGCCAAGTCCAAGCTACTTAAGTTCATCTTGTACATCTTCTTGAATTTGGTCTTACAATATCGTTACAAATCAGTAAAATTGCAATCCTGATTTCGATAGACTATTATATGTACCCTTAAATTCTTAGAAAATATTTCAGGCACGTAGCATCAGTAGGGGCCTGCCCCCCCCCCCCCTTTTTCCAAACATAACCTACTTCTATTGTAAATGTCCACTGAAAAGCTGGTTGCCCCCCCCCCCTTGTTGTAGGATAGTTTAAATCAAAGTAATTTGGTATTATAATGTTTCGAAAACAAAGTGGAAGGTCCCCCCCCCCCCCACACACACACACGAAATAGGATTTTCGAGTTTGGATACTTTACCTTTTTTGTTGCTTGTCAAGGTTTTTTTCAGGTAGGTTGTCCAAAAAAAAAAAATCTGGCTCCCCCCCCCCCATACTACGTGCCTGTATTTTGTAATTTTAAATTTACTTCACTCCTTTATATGCATTTTAACTATTCAAAATAGACTACCGACGGTACATTAAAAACAACATAAAATTAAGCTTTAATTCACATAAGTAAAACGACTGTATAATTTTTCTACAGTTTCATGGAGTTCTATGAAATCACCACACGTTGGTCAAAAGTTAAGACTACATGTACTACTTTGTTACATACATATATCAAAAAGTGAGATATGCGTTTCAATATTAAAATTTCAGTTGCGCAATTATTTGCTCGATTTTCTTTACTGTTGACTTCCAAAAAGTTTTCGGTCAAATTCCACAACCCAGATGATCGCGACATTGCTTCAAAATCTTTGTATGAATTGCCAGTAATCTTTAATCAAAAGGTATTATTGGTGTGTGAAATAGCTATTTATTTAAACAATAAAATGCTTTCTTTGGTTGTTAGTACGGGAATTAATGTCGCAGCTGTTGCAGAAAAAATACATAACCCGCGTAAGCGGGTTATGTAATTTTTTTCTGCAATAGCTGCGACGTTAATTCCCGTACTAACAACCAAAGAAAGACATTTTATTGTTTCTATTTATGTCTTTATAAATAATCATTTAAAGTAGGATTAAAAAGATTAATTAATGTATTATTGATATGTACGTCATAGTAGGTTTCATAGATGGAACAGCCATTGATCAAGAAATCTTTACAGGTGATATGCCTAGTGTTGTTCATGAACTGATAAACGGCAATGGTTTTCTTTAGAAATAAAGGAGAAAATATTCAGTGGATGTAAATATAAATCGATTAGCGTACAGGTGTCTTTCGTTCCAGACTCAGCAGGGAGGGATCTCTGTATGAAAAGGTCACGCATGCACATCCTTGATTATTACCAAAAGTACACTCAGTGGGTGGTGGAGGAGAAGAGTTTGATTTGTTGTTAACTCTCCTGTATTATATCATATGTTGTTATTATTTATTTTAATTTGGGCCTATATGTCATTGTTTTAAACTTTCAAAAGAAATTGCTATATAGAGGAATGATCTACTAAAAAAATCCAACAATTAAACACAAAACTGTAATTTGCACCCCTTTTTTTTTTACGTTATCTATACATGTATTCTTTGTAGAATGTTTTTTATTCGGGAGTTTTCATATACTACAAGTTTAAGATTGTGTGCCTGTCAATTTATCTACATGTATGATATTTGTTGTACATATTCTTGAGAGTCTAGCGGAATTTTAAAAGAATCTTTTTTAAAAAGATTACTAACACTTTACTTCTCCTTTTGTATTTATAGTGTGTTTCAAGCATCCAAGCCACATTGACCTGTTTTCTAATGAATATTAATGAAATGTGCGCAATGAGGATGCGTTGCGTATTATGTCGATGTTGTATTCTCACTCGTGCAGTTTTCGTTTTTATGTTTGTGTAATTTTCTCACTATATCGTGTAAATATTTTGTTGATTGTGCAGTTTTTCAATAGTTCGTGTAAATTTCAATAACTTCGTGTATATTTTCCTCACTTTGTGTAAGTTTTTACTTACTCGTGTAATTTTTGTTTAAGGTCGTGCAGAAAATAATTTTGAAGCAATCGGCGTGCCATAACTAATCTCGGGCCTACGGCCCTCGATTAGTTCTTTCTCTCACAGAATGGACAGTTTTCGGCCTTTCTCCTTTACATAGTGTCTTTTCACCTGCCAAATATCTCATTGATATCTCAATTCACAAAAAAGTTATGCCCAAAAATGATGCTAAAAATGTCAGGAGTACAACACCTTTTTTGACATTTTAAAAAATTAAATTTTTTTTGAAAGTCTGTGTAGTAAATCTGGAGAAGATTGAGACATTTCTGGTTCTTATCTATCAATGGGAACCTAGGGAAGAAACACAGTGCAAGTAGTACCTTACCCAGTTCCCATCTCTATATTCGACGGTGTTTTGCTAGATCTAAAAAAATATTGAGAATATACCTCGCCACGTATATAGATAAAAAAAAAAAAAACTGAGTACTGTGTGATATACCCTCAAACAGAGCTGTCTTAATAATCATTCCAATCATTAGCTCAGACAGAATAAAAGAGAACCTATATATCCCTTGTATTTGCACGAACCTGATCATACCATTACATGAAATATATGGATATAACGGACAGTATTCAAGCTCAAAAGTCCATTAAACAATACAAATTTTGGATCAGAGCAAACGCAGACCTCTAAAACATCAGAGGTGGGATCAGGTGCCGTGGAGGAGTGAGCATCCCCTACCGAACGATCACACCCGGAGTGTGCTCCTTGTCATGATCGGGAAATAACGGGAAAAATTCGTCGACAATTCAGTGTTTAAATAATGGCCTAACAATTAGTAAGAAAAACCTCAGTCAGCATTTGACTTAATGATAAATTATATTTGCTGACAAGGTCATTGTATCGACCAAAGAACTTACGAAATGACGACTTTAAACGAGACTGCTAATATTCTTGTTTCATCAACTTGTTTGTCAATAACTTACCTCGTTTTAGAAATTGCTCATACGTCATGTACGTAGAGCATGCTCTTACATATCGAATCAACTGAGAGATATAAACCCCGTATGCAGGTGATGAAGGTATATTGCTGCATAAGAAAGGGAAGTTGACGATTGAAAATTAAAAGTCATCATGTTTATCATAGCTTGGTTGTTAGATTACCATGAACGTCTTTTTCTAGTAAAATATCCAAATATGTGGACATATCTTTGAAATCTTCTTCTCAAGAAAACTAAGCCATTATTAGTCATATTTATGCAGAAGCAAATGAGCAAACAGAGTTTTACATAGGAATTCAATACATAATCACTTCAAAATCTAGTATTTTTTGTAAGAAATCTTGTATGTCCAAAAAAAAAAAAAAAAAAAAAAACTGACTGAAATGGACAAAAAATGATTTTGGGGGAATTTTATGGTTTATATTTCTTTCATATTAGAACTTTAAAACAAGAATTGAAAAAAAAAAATAATGTAAAATAACAATCAAAAAGCCAATTCTTTTTCCACATATACAAGAGAGGAAACTCAATCAAGGTTTAGATCTAATCATTTACTAGTATATCCCTGATACCATTTTGAAGCATAAAAAACTACAATTTCTTTTGATTATGTATTTTAGAAAGTCTTTTAGGATATAGTGATATTTTCTTTTTTCAAATAAAGTTTTACTAATAAAAATTCTAAAACTTTTTAATCCAATTGTCTAATATTCTATTGCAACTTAAGGAATTTTAACTAGAATTCATGTACAATATGATGATGTGAAAAATATGTTATGGGTAGTTGAATTACAAAAAAATCAATTTGGTGGTCATGTGTTTTTACTTTTTAATTCACCCAGTTGTGGTCATGATGATCGAAAGCAAAATTAAACAAGAGGCCCATGGGCCACATCGCTCACCTGAGCACATTGTCTAGGCAAAAGCACAAATCAGTTCAGTATTGAAAAGATTACGGGGGGCTTGAATTTTAAACTACCTCATGTCATGTCAATATAAAAATGGCTTGTTGTACTTGAGAAGATTTTAAAATATTTTCCCCATATATTCCTTTGCAAAAATTTGATCCCCCATTGTGGCTCCTCCCTATCCCAGGGGTCATGATTTGAACAAACTTAAATCTACACTACCTGAGGATGCTTCCATATCAATATGACTAAACATAGCTTTTCTGTTCTTGATAAGAAATATTTTTTCTATATGTTCTTATGTGAAACTTTCGACCCCCCATTGGACCTCACCCTACCCTCGGGGGTCATCATTTGAACAAAATTGAATTTACACTACCTGAGGATGCTTTCATATCAAAATCACTAAACATGATTTTCAGTTCTTGAGAAGATATTTTCCTATAAGTTCCTATCTTAAATTTTCGATCCCCCATTGTGGCCCGACCCTATCCCCGAGGGTCATCATTTTAACAAACTTGAATCTACACTACCTGAGGATGCTTCCATATCAAAATGACTAATCATGGCTTTACAGTTCTTCAGAAGTAGACATTTTCCTCTATATATTTCTATTTGAGACTTTGATCCTCCACTGTGGCCCCACCCTACCCCCGGGGGTCATGATTTGAACAGAAAAGAATCTACACTACCTGAGGTAGTCCGCATAAATATGATCAGTCAGGGCTTTGCTGTTCTTGAGAAGAAGATTTTTAAAGATTTTTCCTATATATTTCTATGTAAAACTTTGACCCTCCATAGTGGCCCCACCCTACCCTCGGAGGTCAGGATTTGAATAAATTTGAATCTACACTACCTGAGGATGCTTCCACATGATTTTCATCTTTCCTGGCCCTGTGATTCTTGTGAAGAAGATTTTTAAAAGGTGCTATTAATTTTCCTTTAATTCTTTATTGTCTCCCCTTAAAAGAGGGCGTGGCCCTTCATTTGAACAAACTTGAATCCCCTTCACCAAAGGATACTTTGTGGTAAGTTTGGTTGAAATTGGCCCAGTGGTTCTTGAGAAGAAGTCGAAAATGTTAAAAGTTTACAGACAGACAGACGGCTGCCGGACAAAAAGTGATCAGAACAGCTCACTTGAGCCTTCGGCTCAGGTGAGCTAATAAAACGTAAAACGTTGAGCCATTCGATGTTAGAATATGTTGAATGGCATGTGAGGAGTGGTTATTCTGTCAACATCAAAGCAAATCTTGATTATCTAAAAACTCAGTAGCATAAACATCATTTTATAGGTACCCGGCTATATTTTACTAGAGTTTTGCTCTGGTAAAAGTTAAAGCCAAACTAACATTCATTTTCTGGTATGTATTTTCCTTAAACATAATAAGGAAATATTTTCCAGCTTACTGTTCTGTGACTACTCATCAATGTTCTTTTTCATAGGCGCTTGGGTCAAGGATAATGTATATTTTCTATATAATGTATTGTCGAGGAAATTCGAACTATACTCGTAAAATTGTTTTTCAGTGTACAGTGTTAGTTTTTAGTTTTTTGTAAATCTTTCTGCTTGACATACACTAGACTGCCACAGAAATTCGATATTATGCACGATTTAAAAATGACAAATCCCAGCAGGATACTGAAAAGAAAATATACAGCTGGGATATGTGTCATTTTTAAACGTTGCATAATTTCTGTGGCAGTCTAATGTATTTCAAGCAGAAAGTTTTACAAAAAAAAATAATTACTATTATTTCTGCAGAATAAATTCAATTCTTTTTCTTTTCAACACTTCCATCTCTTAATCGTATTAGTTAAGTAACAATCCAAATGCATTCAATTGTTTACTGTCAAAAAAACTATTCATCTCTATGTTGATGAATGAATTTATTTATTTAAAAAGTCATTCTTTTGTCTATTATCTTTGAATAAATAAATTAAGACCCTCCCCCCCAAAAAAGGAATTAATTTAAATTATTATTTAAAAAAAATGATATTGATGTTGTATATGTACATGTTCAAAATTATTAATATGAAGAACCTGATTAATTCATTTTATAGTTTATTCAGAATACAACTTTGGGCAGTACAGCCCATCAGTTTACAATAATAACATAATTAATACATATTAAACAATAAGTAAGACTCTGATTAACATTGACTTATAAAACGAATATTTATGATGGGTGTTTTGATAATCAACTTGTACAACACAGGTATTTAAGCTTAAAACAGAATATAAATGGGTGACCACCCAGGTGTGAAAATCCCAATTTTGGCTAGAAGGGAACAAGAAATTTAAAATTTTGGCTAGATGGGAATAAACTGATTCAAAAAAATATATCAAGAAGAGGACTTTCATTGGTCCGATTCAGTACTGTAGAATAAAATATCTTTTACATGATTGTATGTTTATCATAAATGATATACAAAAAGTTTTCACATACATTATCTATCACATTTGGAATGTTCAATCCAGAATTAAATTTAATGTTTGAATTGAAACCAAAATATGTCATTTCTTAATTCACAGGATTAACACTAGTTGTTTCCTCTCTAGTTCTAGTCTTCTTTCAGTTTTCTTATAACTGTGAAATCTTAAAACACATTATTAATGTTTTCCTCCGCCTGTGTGTTTTTTCTTCCCACAAATACAACCATTGGCCAGGTGATAGTAATTTTCTGCCCATTGTATATATCTATAAGTCTGAAATACATAAATATTTCTAATCATTATAAGTGCGTACTTTATCAAAGCAATCTTAAATTTATTCCTTTGTTTTGGAATTTTAGAAAAAAAATATTTGGATTTCTTAATATCTAAATATTACCGAAATATAAAGAGAAATGGCAGTTCCATGAGATAAGTCAATGAGACCGTGTTTGTTAATACAGCGACTACTTATATTTTTGACTACAAATTACTTGTGCTCCGTTTATCTGAGCAATACATAGGACTTTCCGCAGTGTGACCTATATCAACAGTAAATGTATCTGGTGTTTCCAAAAGTCCGTGTTTTGCTCTGTTCTCAGTTTTGATTTATGAGACACTGATCACTGTGCATTAACGCCACATTTTTCTTATCTAGTTATAATCAGTTCATTTATTAGATGCAAACCTGTATTTTAACATTTACTGTATGTTTTGGTCCAATCGAAATATATTAAAAGCCTTCTTTTGTCTGAAAATTATTTAAACTACGAATTTTGAGACAGTTTGATTGACTCATATTCTCTCACTTTCACAAAGTAAACGTTATCAATAATACTTTAGAACACTAGAAATTTTGTTGTGTATTGATGAAAAAATATAAAAACTATAATCCAGAAGCCGTCACGGTAGCTCAGTCGGTAGAGTGCTCTCTCCGAGATCGAAATGTCGTGTGTTCGAATCACGGCCGCGACTGACCTAAGTCGATAAAAAATAGGTAGCAACTGTTCCTTCACCAATGCTCGATCGGCACTTTGAAGTGAAAGTTGCGGGTCCTTCGGATGATACCTTAATTAAAACCGAGGCCCCTCGGTAGGCGTTGGCACGATAAAGAACCCTCACTGCTCAATGGCCTGAGTGCCGAGTAAAGGTCTATATTTGAAGCACTTCATCGGTATATGGAGACGTCTCTATATGAGTGAAAAATTCTCGAACGGGACGTAAAACAACACACAATCAATATAATCCAGAAAGTTCAGAGTAGAAATTCGAGAAAGCAAAACGAACTCTAGTATTGTCAGTCTTTGCTCAGTGATCGAAGTGTCCAGATTAAGCAAATTGAACACACTCGGTAAAACGTAAACACAAATAACAGAGCTCATACCCTGTTTTACAAACACAGGCGTTTGACGTGATATAATGAAGAATGCCGTTGTCATTGAATTCTTAGAAAATTCAAGTAAGCTCAAACCATTGTGAAGTAATTTTTAAATAAAAATAGACATTTAAAATTGTTTTAAAATGGTAAATAATGCAACTGTGTCCAGGCCCCTTTAAAGAACGTTTGTTTCTACTTAACTTTGCAACCTTGACCAAACTTACAGGGAGTACGTTTTGTATCTTTTCCTACTTCATTGCCTTCTGCATTTACACATATTTAATTTAAAATGAAATTTTGTTGTTATGACTACTTTCGTGACAACAAATTTATGTTTGAAATTAAGTTTTTGGAAGTTACTTTCATTCCATTTACTCCCACTAACAACTATGATATAAGCTTCTTTTTTTCAATTTCACGAGAGGAAAAATAATAATTTTGATCAAAAAAACTTTATCCTTTGTTATATCGTGAGTCGATGCCGGTACATGAACGATTCCCACCATTACAACTTTCTTATAAACAACAAGCATTCTGAGAGTATTGCATTAGTAATACTACTCCCCTACCGGCAAGTGTAATCTGGTTCCGTTCCCGTTAAGAATTGAAAATGCCATAATTCCGTCAAAAATTAATGAAGCGGGACGAAATGCAAACTTGATCTATAACTAATCAAGGTAAAGCCACATACCAAAAATCAGCTCAATATCTACAAGTGTTTAGAAGAAAATTGCGGAAAACCCGTAAAAATTGAAAAGGCCGTAATTCCGTCAAAAATCAATGAAGCGGAACGAAATGCAAACTTGATCTGTAACTCATCAAGATACACTCACATACCAAAAATCAGCTCAATATCTGCAAGCGTTTAGGAAAAAAGTGCGGAAAACCAAGTGGGACAGACTGACAGACAGACAGAGGGACAGCTATACAGTTGAGAGGTACATTGTGCATTTTACGGAAGGTGCGGGGTTATCATTTTGCTTTGTGGGGATATTACTAGTACAGTGGTGACTTGAGAGGTTACATTAGGAATTCAAACAAATAGTATATTGTGGGGTTAAAGATCTACATTTGTGGGGTTAAAGATCTATATTTGTGGGGTTAAAGATCTATATTTGTGAGGTTAAAGATCTATATTTGTGGGGTTAAAGATCTATGTTTGTGGGGTTAAAGATTAATTATTTAATATCAAGTCAACTTTACAAGCAACTAATTATAAGTACTTAAAATTGTTACTGTTTATCTGAAGAACTTAGAACGGAAATAGCAATAAGATTTTTCGACTACTACATAGCAGTAACAATGCAAAAAATGTTTTTATTTGAGGATAAACGTTGCACCAAAGTAAACTAACCCATCATGTTTTCACAAAAAGATGATATACAAGAATACCCCCAAAAGTGTTAAACAAACAACCCCACTATGTTATATAGGTATAACAGACAACACTAACCCCATAAAGTATAAGACAAACAACCCCAGTATGTACTCTTATAAAGATAATAGATAACACTAACCCCATAAAGTGTTAGGACAACAACCCCACTATGTACTCTTAGAAAGATAATAGATAACACTAACCCCATAAAGTGTTAGGACAACAACCCCACTATGTACTCTTAGAAAGATAATAGACAACACTAACCCCATAAAGTGTTTGGACAGCAACCCCACTATGTACTCTCATAAAGATAATAGACAACATTAACCCCATAAAATGTTAGGACAACAACCCCACTATATACTCTTATAAAGATAATAGGCAACACTAACCCCATAAAGTGTTAGGACAACAACCCCACTATGTACTCTCATAAAGATAATAGACAACACTAACCCCATAAAGTGTTAGGACAACAACCCCACTATGTACTCTTAGAAAGATAATAGATAACACTAACCCCATAAAGTGTTTGGACAGCAACCCCACTATGTAATCTTATAAAGATAATAGACAACACTAACCCCATAAAGTGTTTGGACAGCAACCCCACTATGTACTCTTATTAAGATAATAGACAACACCAACCCCATAAAGTGTTTGGACAGCAACCCCACTATGTACTCTCATAAAGATAATAGGCAACACTAACCCCATAAAGTGTTACGACGACAACCCCACTATGTACTCTTAGAAAGATATTAGACAACACTAACCCCATAAAGTGTAACAACCCCACTATGTTCTCTTATGAAGATAATAGACAACATTAACCCCATAAAGTGTTACGACAACAACCCCACAATGTACTCTTATAAAGATAATAGGCAACACTAACCCCATGAAGTTTAACAACCCCACTATGTTCTCTTATGAAGATAATAGACAACATTAACCCCATAAAGTGTTAGGACAACAACCCCACTATGTACTCTTATAAAGATAATAGACAACACTAACCCCATAAAGTGTTTGGACAGCAACCCCACTATGTAATCTTATAAAGATAATAGACAACACTAACCCCATAAAGTGTTTGGACAGCAACCCCACTATGTACTCTTATTAAGATAATAGACAACACCAACCCCATAAAGTGTTTGGACAGCAACCCCACTATGTACTCTCATAAAGATAATAGGCAACACTAACCCCATAAAGTGTTACGACGACAACCCCACTATGTACTCTTAGAAAGATATTAGACAACACTAACCCCATAAAGTGTAACAACCCCACTATGTTCTCTTATGAAGATAATAGACAACATTAACCCCATAAAGTGTTACGACAACAACCCCACAATGTACTCTTATAAAGATAATAGGCAACACTAACCCCATGAAGTTTAACAACCCCACTATGTTCTCTTATGAAGATAATAGACAACATTAACCCCATAAAGTGTTAGGACAACAACCCCACTATGTACTCTTATAAAGATAATAGACAACACTAACCCCATAAAGTGTTTGGACAGCAACCCCACTATGTAATCTTATAAAGATAATAGACAACACTAACCCCATAAAGTGTTTGGACAGCAACCCCACTATGTACTCTTATTAAGATAATAGACAACACCAACCCCATAAAGTGTTTGGACAGCAACCCCACTATGTACTCTCATAAAGATAATAGGCAACACTAACCCCATAAAGTGTTACGACGACAACCCCACTATGTACTCTTAGAAAGATATTAGACAACACTAACCCCATAAAGTGTAACAACCCCACTATGTTCTCTTATGAAGATAATAGACAACATTAACCCCATAAAGTGTTACGACAACAACCCCACAATGTACTCTTATAAAGATAATAGGCAACACTAACCCCATGAAGTTTAACAACCCCACTATGTTCTCTTATGAAGATAATAGACAACATTAACCCCATAAAGTGTTAGGACAACAACCCCACTATGTACTCTTATAAAGATAATAGACAACACTAACCCCATAAAGTGTTTGGACAGCAACCCCACTATGTAATCTTATAAAGATAATAGACAACACTAACCCCATAAAGTGTTTGGACAGCAACCCCACTATGTACTCTTATTAAGATAATAGACAACACCAACCCCATAAAGTGTTTGGACAGCAACCCCACTATGTACTCTCATAAAGATAATAGGCAACACTAACCCCATAAAGTGTTACGACGACAACCCCACTATGTACTCTTAGAAAGATATTAGACAACACTAACCCCATAAAGTGTAACAACCCCACTATGTTCTCTTATGAAGATAATAGACAACATTAACCCCATAAAGTGTTACGACAACAACCCCACAATGTACTCTTATAAAGATAATAGGCAACACTAACCCCATGAAGTTTAACAACCCCACTATGTTCTCTTATGAAGATAATAGACAACATTAACCCCATAAAGTGTTAGGACAACAACCCCACTATGTACTCTTATAAAGATAATAGACAACACTAACCCCATAAAGTGTTTGGACAGCAACCCCACTATGTACTCTCATAAAGATAATAGACAACATTAACCCCATAAAGTGTTAGGACAACAACCCCACTATGTACTCTTGTAAAGATAATAGACAACACTAACCCCATAAAGTGTAACAACCCCATTATGTTCTTATATAAAGATAATAGACAACACTAACCCCACAAAGTGCTAGACAAGAACCCCAATACGTTCTGATAGAAAATATCAGACATCTTAGTAACCTCAGAGTGTTAAACAAACAACCCCGCTGTGTTCTCATGTAACAGATACCAGTAACCATATGAATTTAAGAGTTTGACAACCCCAGTATGTTATAATTTTAGAATACTCCACCAGGGACTGGCAATAAAAGTACAAGTACCCCCACTATGTTCAATCGCAACTACTCGGGCCTTTCCAACTAGCAAAAAAACCACCTCGAATGTATTAGGTAGACGCCATGACAACAACCCCCTTTTCACAATCTTTGAAATAAATGCATGAAGACCTTTTATCTGTGGAATATGGAGTTTATCTTTATTCAATGTAATGATATTACTAAAATATACTATAGAATGGACCTCTAACTCCATCTATCCTATATTTGAATAAACAGGAAATGTACAGCTAATCAACATCAGGTGATGTTAATACATTCGAGGTTGTTTTTCTGACCTCTGACGGAAAGACTCTGAGATGATACGATTGCCACTATATTATATCATTTTTTGACTTTTAAAAATACCAGCAATACTCATGATCTTTTTTCCTATTTTGATAACAAGCATACTCCAAAATTTGTTTTAAACATTTTTCTAACTATTTTTAATTGAACAATCTCTTTATCTCTACTGCTTATTTCTAATGAAAATACATGTAGTTCCTTTGAAACTCCTGGTGCATGAATTTTAAGTATGCATTATGCATCAAAAGCATACATAATTTCATTGTTAAGTAATAAAAATAACAAAAAAAGGCATGACCCCGATTTTTAAAAAGAATTTATTTAAACTTTTCAGTTACTTGACAAGTTGAACACAAATAAGAAACATGTCAATAAATGTAGAACACAGAAAAAAAAAAACATCAAAATTTGAGACAATATTCATAGCTGTAAAAAATAAAATAAAACAACTACCTGCAAATTTAAAAAGCAATTAAATAGTGCATTGTCAAATAACTCTAAATCTTGCATGTTATTGGTACTTATTTAAAGCAAAATGTGTGAATTCAAATGAAGTAAAGAAAATGTGTATTCCAATATCTGAGCATTTTGCATTTTAAATTGATCTTAAACAATTAACTCAAACCCACAGTTAAGATAAAGTCTATAAATACAAGAGAATTTACATGATTACTAGTTAAAATGCAATCTAATTGTGAAAATGCCACCCACCCAATCCCTCAAGAAATTTAAAAAAAAAAACAATTGATTTATAATTTTTAGAAAAATAAAAATTAAACAACATAAATGTACATATCAGTTATTTATATCACTGACATTTATTTTAAAATGAGATTGCCAATTAAAAAAGACAAAAACTATGACTGTCAATGTATAGAAATTCACCATGCAGAATGCAATGTTCATAAAAGATACTTTTGTCTTAAAGCTGAACACTTTTCATAAACATAAGTAATCAGAGATTACAGAGCTCAAACTTAAAAAAATATTGTCTTTAAGTAAGACAAGGTCCCACTAATAATCTAGAAGTTTACATACCAAATTACAAAATTTATGCAATTTTGATGTGATAAGGTTTGCAGTAACTTGAGAATAGACATCCAAATACTTGAAACTAGTCAAAATGTAATTCAAATCCAGGACCTGAAGCAAGTTTGAAAATTTTTATCCCTTGATGCATCATTTGAGCGAGTTTGGTTAAGATAGGCCTTATAGTTTTTTGGTAATAGACTGCACCCGTTACTTTAGCCTGGTCCATTATCTGGAAAATCTGGATTCAGCATTCAAAGCAAGTCCATTTATGTGCATCCTTAAATGTATCATCCATGCAAGTTTGCTCAACATAGAGCTTAAACCTATGAAATTATCAAATTTTAGGAATTTTTTTCCAAAACAGGAGAAAATTATCATGAAAATTATAAGTCAATACATTATTTACAAACAGAAAATGCACATAAAAACAAAGAATAAATGCAAAAAATCTAAGGCCACACAAGAAATACTACATGTTGACCATGACTTTCAAGTCATGAAGTGTACAAATTGGTGTAAGGAAATCAAAGGGTTTATATACCTGTCTTATGGTGCCTATTTATGAAAAGTGTTCAGCTTAAAAAATGATATACTAAGCAGAACAATGCACATAATACAAAAACTCATTTTCACTGAATCTTTTTCAGTGATCAAAATAAGAAAAAATTGGTTAACGCTTTTATCATTTTCATTAACTTTATACAATGATACACCTCTGAACTCTACCATATAATGGTAGATTTCATCTTGACTTGTCTACTCCTCTTCAAAACTTTTTCATACTTATTAACTGCAAATTAATTTGAAATTTTCTTTACGCTTTTTAACAAGCATTCCCGAAACTTTCTTTTTGATGTTGTCTCTAAGTCTTTTGTGAATTAAACCATCTTTCCTTTTGCTTCTTTTCATCTGCTCTTCTATTTCTGTCCTCTGTAAAACACCTGCTGAATAAGGACAGCAATTCTCCTTCCTCCTCCTTGGACCATCTCTGCCGCAATGAACTCTTTTTCTTTGGTGCTGAATGTGCACAAAAGGATAAATTACCGTTATAAATAAACAAATTCAGCCTATTCAAACATTACCTTACACATGATGTTCAACTAAATAACAAATCTGTAAATGTGTAACATCAACTTATTTTTGCAACCAAATCTATGTTGCTAACATTAATTAATTACAAGAGAAGTTATTTGATTACTGTAGACATACTATTTTCCACGGGGTGATAATTCCGCGGAATCTCAATTTCTGTTTAATCAGCGGGTAGAAAATTAAGCAGAATTTTTAGACTGTCACTATATGCTTACATATATATTAATTGGACAAATTTCCATAGAAAAATTGTAACCGCGTACATAGCGTAAATTTATACCAAAAAGTACTTCTACAGTATGGGAGATATACACTTCATAATTGGTATGCATACTCCCACTAGTTAAGTTCTTTAAAATGACATCAAGGTCAATGAATAACCTGACAGACAAAAAACAGAACTATTTATTATTTGTTTATTTTAAAAAAAAAAAGGTTTGATTAAAAATATCACACTGCATATTGTTTCATGTTTTTGCTTGAATTTTTTACTAATAATATATTTTTTTAAATCATAAATGTTGAAAACTTTTAAAAACATTAATGCATATTCAGTGGTAAAAAAAAACCAAACTTTAAATGCAGGTGTTTTTGATCTCAAAATCTGATTTAAAAACCTGCTTGGCATGCCTACACTAAAGGGTTTGCTACATGTAATACATTTAATTGTTAACATGTTCTTTTGTGAACAACTTGTAATTTTTTGGAAAATTTAAAAGGAATAAATATATAATATACTGTAAAGTTCGAAGGCTAATGAAGCCTCCTGAATAATAAAAATCATGATTATCTGAATCCATTACATTTTATTGTGTGTAAAGTTGATACTTTGCTTTATTAAAATTTTCACAGACTATTGACAATTCTACCTTAATCATCAAATGATTGTATGTTAACTCATTCATATACTTACAGTGCATCATCGCTTTAACTATAAAAGCTCCCAGGCTCCTCCCCCACAGCCACAGGCCAGAAAAAGCCCTTTTGGGGTACCAGGCAGGTGTGCCCAAACAAATTTTCTGAAAAATAAAACAAATTTCATTTAGATATTATTCATATACATTATATTTGCCCACGTTTTAATTTTGCCCCTTTTGCCCTTGTCACAAGTGAGCAAATTTAAAACGGGGCAAATTCAAAGAACACAGTACAAATTCTTAAGATTACGACAAAATTGAACTTCTTGTTAAATGAAACATTGTACAGGTTGACTAATTTATTCACTTCTGCTTAAATCAAAAGTAGAGAAAGTCGTAATTTTGTGTGAGCAGTGGTTTAGACAGCGCAGTGTCATACATTTTGACAAATTGAAAGTATGACAATGTGAAAACAAGGGACGTTGATATAAAAAAAACATTAGTACTTGTTGTTTATTCTTTAAAACAAGCAGTAATATGTAATTAAGTTGGAATAAATGCAAAATACATTGCATTTGCATAAATAAGAGAAAATTCTCCATTGTTTTTCTTCGATGTTATTTTTCCCGATTGAACCGGTACTAGACCCTTTCCCAATGGGTGGAAAAAAATTGCTGTTTTATATATAATATCAAAGAAGGAAAAGTATTAATTAAAAGACTTCCTGATCGTTTTACATGCAAAACCATCTCCGGATGATGTGACGTTAAATGGCGTAGCGATGCTGCTCCGGGTCGATAGACATATGCATGTTTATTATTTCACCAAAAACTTTTCTTATTATCATTGGAATATGAAATTTTTTATAAGTGCTTTATTTGTTCTTTATAAAAAGTTGATGAATTTTCGTGAATTTATTAAGTTAATTACGAGAAGGCATATTTGGGAGACGATAAAATAATAGACCTGTTACCTCCCAAATCAACGGATTGTGATTCAATGTTGTGATGTGGTTTGTTCGAAAATACTGAAATTTTCTGCTCCAGTAATGAGTTTATCGTATATTTATGGTAAACATATCGTGATTAATCATTCATCTACATTACCATAGAAAATACAGAAAATAAAAATTATAAACCAATTTAAACAAACTATATTAATTTTATTCCTTGTGCCGAGCTGTCTTCGGTATGGGGCGAGGTGTCAATGATTTTAAGCCGACCTGTCAGGGTAGAGGTGTCAACCAGCACGGGTCGAGCAGTCTGTCTACTGTTGCTTTGAAGTTTCAGGGGTTGTTAAGCCAACATTTTTATATTTACTGTTTTACGGGAGCGCCGACCCAAATTTGGGCTAAAATGAAATAAAAATAAATTAAAGTCTCTTCAAGTTTTATTTTTGTTTCTCCCGCCGATAGCTTATTCATAGTCACTGAAAAAATAAAAGAAACGTCAACAAAATTTTAACAAGCCTTTCAAAATGTGAATTGTCATTGGCTAAGGTAAATATATCCACCCACAGTTGGCAAAACTAAAGAGCATGAATGTGAATTGTGAAGCGTGGATAGCCACTGCACAGCATGAAAGTTAGCGGCAAAATGTCAGAATCGTGGGATAATTTTTAGATACACCCAGTCATTTTAAAAATTGACATGACATTTATTAGAAAAAAGCTTAAATTTTAGATTAACTTTTATGAAAGATTGAATAAAATAGACGAAATAGTAATCTTGATCAAATGTTACGCGGAGAGCCACGTGGAAATTGAGGTTCTGTCAATCCCTTGTTTTGAGAGGTTTCAAGTACGTATTATCTTTGATAGTTGTTTAAAAGCATTGAAATACGGCTTGAAGATTATTCTGAAACTTATTTTAAATACCATAATGTTTTCTTTTACTTGTAACAAGAGAACAGAACACTGTAAAAAGTGGCGTAACTGAGGAAATTCGAGTCACAACTTCCACTCGTTAATATCATGTTAATCACACTTATTACGATTCAAAATGGAATTTTACTTGCTATGTAACAAATAAATGCACATGAGGGTGGTTATAACAGCTCTTTCTTTGTAAAACAACCTTTTTACCACTAGGGAAAAACAAAGCAGCAAATGATACGTCCATACAAATATGACCTGTTTTTTTTTATTCAAAAACTGTGAATTAGTACCAGTTTTTAGAAATATTCGAATTCTGCAGTAAACAGAGTAATTGTTATAGTCTATTTTACATGTATATACTTATGGTATTACATGTACGTGCACTTTCTACTATCATGTACGTTGAAAGTTGTAGCATTGAGGCAATTTCAATATGTTTTCAAGAGATAAGATACATTTTATCCACCTATGTGTATATCAATTTGAATTGCATTGAAAAAATACACAGATTTTCTTTTAATTAGTCTCACTTGTGAAATAATTTAACCAATCCATTAAAGGCTCACTTTATGCTTGCCATATGATAGCTACTAAAAAATCTTAAAATCTTATTTTTTTTAAAAAATAAAAAAAAATTGTTACGTTTCTTTATTTTATTTTTATTTCTCTGACCGACTGCTTGAATTTGGAGATTTTATTTTTATTTCGACCCCCGACTCAAATTTTTGAAAAAAAATTCCCGTAAAACAGTAAATTAAAAAATGTTGGCCTTATATGCTGATGTTGATGCAGGATTTACTAAGACATTGAATCTCAAAATCTCTACAGTGTGGGGAAATCTTCAGACTCTTCATTTATATTAGCTTCCATGAAATTGTTTACCTCTTCTTGTTAAATTAATAATAGAGTACTGTAGCTAAATCTCTCCTGATCACTGTATTGTTTATGGAGAAAGAGTTTTGTCTTAGGACCTTGTGTTATTTACCGTCATGTTCTGTAAAAATTTTCACATTTGGCATCTCTGTCTTTGATAATATACACTTTTAATGAGAATAAAGAGCAATTACAACTGCAATTACATCTGCTAGCACAGTTAACATCTTGTTGATTACCTGTTATCAGTGGCAATAAAACGATTAGCTACTGATAAACACTGCATGACCTCCATTTTTGTGTTGACTAGTCGGTATTTTACGAACCCAAGTAGGGAAAAAATCCGGATTTTTTTCAAAATAGGTAGAAACGGCAGTTAAAAAAATTCGGTAGACAGTCAGTAGGGATGGTTAAAATCGGTAGACTCCCGTTAATTCGGAAGAGTTGACAGGTAATTGATAGAGATTCAAAATAAAAATAAAATTTCAATTATGTTCACGTTTTCTCAGCCTTCATGACCTATATACTGCACGTGTTTACCATAACAGATGAAAGGAGGGAATTCGGATTTAAAAAAAACACGATCGTTTCTGGAAGTAAATAAGTCATGTAGAATTGCAAAATAGATAAGATTATGGATATTTACGAAGAATAGAAGCATTTTGCATAGAAAATTTTAATTAATTAAGACATTGCAATAGATCAGATATAATAAATTAATCAGGACAAGCCCTCACAACAATCGGGTCACATGGACCGGTACTGTAGTGAATTTTATCGGACATTTCGATTTTCTATCGGTTTTGCCGGTAGGACAGATGGTTTTTAGAAACTGTTTGGACAATTTATGAACATTCTGCAACATGCAAATAAAACGCAGCCGCTAATAAAAAGTACTGAACTCAATTAGTCAATATACTTTTTTTTTAGACACGTGGTCAAACATGTAAAAAATGTGTCGAACTACAGATTTTGTTTACTTTCAATAAATTCTACAACTGCACAATGTTTAAAATGTTTCATGAAAGCTAAAATACTTTCTCTGATTTCATTGCAGAGTTACAAAATAGAAGACTTACCGCATTTGCTTATCCTTGTGCACAGGGGCTTGCTCCCGGCGTGTAATAATTATTTATTTAAAAAAAAAATCATATACGTTTATACTAAAACTACACAAGGGAGGACGCCATTTTGGACCCCTTCCTCGCTTCAACCTCTGTTTTCGTTATATTTTCCCGTATTTTACTGACTCACCGCCTCGGATCTGTCAAGTAATGATTCTTCTAGGACATAATACTTAAATTTTCCCCTTGGAGCCTCTACAATACACATTTCAGACTAATAATAATCCAAACTCGCTCTTTAGGACAGTTGATAGGGACAGAAAACGAAAACACATTCGAAAATCTCGGAGTTTTTCTACTAGTTAACACAGCTGCTAATTATAAATTTGAAAAAACCGCGTTCTAATTCCGTATTCGAATGTAAATCGCCGAGGTTACTTTCGTTTTCTGTCCCTATCAACTGTCCTAAAGAGCGAGTTTGGATTATTATTAGTCTGAAATGTGTATTGTAGAGGCTCCAAGGGGAAAATTTAAGTATTATGTCCTAGAAGAATCATTACTTGACAGATCCGAGGCGGTGAGTCAGTAAAATACGGGAAAATATAACGAAAACAGAGGTTGAAGCGAGGAAGGGGTCCAAAATGGCGTCCTCCCTTGTGTAGTTTTAGTATAAACGTATATGATTTTTTTTTTTAATAAATAATTATTACACGCCGGGAGCAAGCCCCTGTGTCCTTGTGCTCTTTCCTAAAGCCACATTGCGCATCTCAGGCTAATTCAGAGCCTACTTCCGTATCCTGCGCAGGCGCAGTTTGTTCTAAATATGTGCGCATGCTCAGGTTTTCGGAACTCCTCGATTCAATTACCGAACTCCTCTAAACAGCATTTTTCTGAATGTCTGAGCGTTTTGGGCTAGTGACATGTCCAAAAATTTGGACAAAGTCTTGTGGGGTTAAATCTAATTTTAGGTTTTTCAACCTCATAGAGTAATTTTAAACAGAATTAAACCTCTTCATTACGGGGTTAACCCCACAGAACGAAAATAACCTCACACTGCTGGAAAATACGTTCATTTTACCCCACAATGTACCTCTCGTAAGAACAGACAGACAGACGGACAGACAGACAGACAGACGGACAGACAGACGGACGGACAGACTCAGAGGAAACCTATAGTCCCCTCCGGTTTCACCGGTAGGGGACTAATTATCATTTAAATCCCACTCTTCAGTATTTAAAGTTTTTAACGATCTTCAATTTGTAACTCATGAAATATGTGGAGATAACGAACAGTATTCGAGCTCAACGGTCCATTAAACAGTACAAAATAAGAGCAGAGCAAACACGGACCTCTATGACATCAGAGGTGGGATCAAATGCCATGGAGGAGTGAGCATCCCCTGCCGACCGGTCACACCCGCCGTGTGCTCCTTGTCATGATCGGGAAATCCATCTCTCCACATGTCTTGTATCATATAACTTTAATTCCTGGGCCTGTATATCTCATACGGCATGATTGTTGTACACCTTGACACCCTCGGACTTACTGTTGCTGTATCTCATCTAGACGTCCCGATTTTGGATTCTTTTTTAAATATTTCCGGCATGATGACCATGTAGAGAGATAACCCACCACTTCATTTGCTGACCATTTGTTTTGTATGAAGAAATCAGATTTCCTGAATTTAAAATAAAATGTAATTTATGTTCAATTATCTGACCTTATTTTTTTTTGAGAAATGTTAACCAGAATGTCACTACATCACACGAATGGATTTTTTCCATTTATATTTTCTAAGAAAGGAATTTATAAAATCCTTTTCTTTATAATGTCAAAAGCTTCAAAACGTGGTTTATTTTGCAATTTTGCACAAACTAGATTCATGGAATAAATAGTATTTAATGGCTCTATAGTCTAAGAAAATACCTGAGTACAATTTTGTCTTCATTTGCTTTCTTTTAAGCTATTTAGACCAATATGAAAATTCATTGGTCACACAGTTTTTCAAACAATATAGATTTCAAGCTGCAAGATATCCCATTGATTGTTTCTTGACATTTCTTTTTTTCATAACATTGGTTATGTAGGAATTCATCATACATTTATGCCATGAAGTTGAAAAGGCACTCATATAGAATTTTAAAAAGATATACTAGTATTACGTGTGTTTTTAGGATGAATGATGCAAGAAATGCAAGTACCTTTCCCAGCCTGAGAATGGAAGATACATATTTTGATAAAAATTGTCTGCATGTCTTGATCTTGAGTCCCAGAATTCTTCCAGATCGTGATTAAAAAACTGAAGAAGATGTATGAAATCAATAGCAATATGTAATTCCAGCGTCACTTAGACGTCTACAGTCCAATACCTACTTTCTCTATGACAAGGTTGCCCTCACTCTTGTTTAACGTCCCATTGCCATATCCATAGATAACTATGCTTCCTCTAGGCTTCAGTATCCTGGAAAATTGTCAAATGAATAAATAACAGAAATTGCTTTCATAGTTTAACAAAAATTTAGTTTGCATATGTCTCACCTCATCTTATAGACAAGATCTTAATTTAAAAAAATCGTTTAGGGATTCTTTGTGTATCATAACATTGCTTGAAGTTTTTCTTCTAGATGCTGAAGAGTAAAGAGGATGTTTTCAAAATGATACGTTTTCAAATTTGATTTAACGTTATATATTTACGCGAGTATACCCTAGAAACACAACTTGATATTGTCATCATGTATATAGCTTGCTTGTTAAAGCCCAGAAGTAAATTTTACAATATTTAATATAGTTCTAACTGCTAGAATCACAGGTGTATTTGACAATTTCCAGAGCGGAGCTTTTACTGTGGTTGAATTTCACGAGATACTCAAGCTGCATTGTGCATACAAGTAAGACTTCTACATACACTTGACGAACTTGCTGACGCACCATCATAGAAAAGTACCTTTTCAAAAGTTGTTTAAGACGCATCTAATGTGTTAATATAAGTAAGATGATTAAATGCCCAAACTGGTCAGTAAATAAATGATAACTCAGTGAAGAGTAAGCATTTTATTGAAATGCATGAAAATTGTACTCATACGTTTTATAGGAATATATTTCCATTTTTAGGTCACCTGAGTCACTCAGGTGACCTATTGTTATCCATTTTTGTCCGTCGGCGTGCGTCGTGCGATGTGCGTTAACATTTGAACATTTTTAGCTTCTTCTCTGAACCCGCTGAACCAATTTCAACCAAATTTGGCATATAGCATTTATGGGTAAAGGGGAACAAAAATTGTGAATTTCATGGTCCCTGCCCCCCTGGGGCCTGAGGGGTGGGGCTACATGTAAAACCACCAAAATTAATGCAATCTTTTAAAATCTTCTTCTTTACTCCTGGACATCAAGCAGTCAAACTGTTGGCATGATTGTAATAAGGATTGAGCCCTCTATCAAAATTGTAAAATTCATGGCCCCAGAGGCAGGGGTTCTGGTGCTAGGGCGGGGCTATATAGATCATATAGTGAAAGTGCATTATTTCTTTGAAAATCTTCTTGTCTGCTCCTGGATATTAAATAAACTAACTAAGTATACAGTTATGATAAGTAAGAGTGCCTCTTCCAAAATTGTGAAATTCATGGCCCCAGGGGCAGGGGTTCTGGTGTAAGGGCGGGGCTCTATTGATTATATAGTGAAAATGCATTAGTTTTTTTTGAAAATCTTCTTCTCTGCTCCTGGGTATTAAATACAGTAACTAAGTACATAGTTATGATGAGCAAGAGTGCCTCTTCCAAAATTGTGAATTTCATGGCCCCTGGGTCAGGGGTTCTGGTGTTAGGACGGGGCTTTATTGATCATATAGTGAAAGTGCATTAATTCATTGAAAATCTTCTTGTCTGCTCCTGGATATTAAATAAACTAACTAAGTATACAGTTATGATAAGTAAGAGTGCCTCTTCCAAAATTGTGAAATTCATGGCCCCAGGGGCAGGGGTTCTGGTGTAAGGGCGGGGCTCTATTGATTATATAGTGAAAATGCATTAGTTTTTTTTGAAAATCTTCTTCTCTGCTCCTGGGTATTAAATACAGTAACTAAGTACATAGTTATGATGAGCAAGAGTGCCTCTTCCAAAATTGTGAATTTCATGGCCCCTGGGTCAGGGGTTCTGGTGTTAGGACGGGGCTTTATTGATCATATAGTGAAAGTGCATTAATTCATTGAAAATCTTTTTCTCTGCTCCTGGGTATAAAATAAACTAACTAAGTACATAGTTATGATGAGTAAGAGTGCCTCTTCCAAAATTGTGAATTTCATGGCCCCAGGGTCAGGGGTTCTGGTATTAGGGTGGGGCTCTATTGATTACATAGCGAAATGCATTAATTCTTTGAAAATCTTCTTCTCTGCTCCTGGGTATTAAATACAGTAACTAAGTACATAGTTATGATGAGCAAGAGTGCCTCTTCCAAAATTGTGAATTTCATGGCCCCTGGGTCAGGGGTTCTGGTGTTAGGAGGGGGCTTTATTGATCATATAGTGAAAGTGCATTAATTCATTGAAAATCTTTTTTTCTGCTCCTGGGTATAAAATAAACTAACTAAGTACATAGTTATGATGAGCAAGAGTGCCTCTTCCAAAATTGTGAATTTCATGGCCCCTGGGTCAAGGGTTCTTGTGTTAGGGCGGGGCTCTATTGATTATATAGTGAAAATGCATTAATTCTTTGAAAATCTTCTTCTCTACTCCTGGGTATCATTTAAACAAACTAAGTACATTGTTATGATAAGCAAGGTTGCCTCTTCCAAAATTGTGAAATTCATGGCCCCGGGGACAGGAGTTCTGGTGCTAGGGCGGGGCTTTATAGATTCTATAGTGAAGGTGAATTATTTCTTTGAAAATCTTCTTCTCTGCCCCTGGGTATTGTTTAAACAAACTGAGTACATTGTTATGATACGCAAGGATGCCTCTTCCAAAATTGTGAATTTTATGACCCCAGGTTTAAGGGTTCTGGTGAGGGGGGGGGGGGCTTCTATTGATTATAAAGTGAAAAAGCAAAATTTCTGCCTCTGGTTAAAAGAGCAAAGAAGCTAAGTGTATAGTTATGATGAGCAAGAGTGCTTCTTCCAGAGTAGTGAATTTGGTCCAGTGGTTCTTGAGAAGATTTTTCCTATATATTTCAATGTAAAACTTTGATCCCCTATTGTGGCCCCTCCTTACTCCCACATGATCTGAACAATTTACCATCTACACTACCTTAGAAAGCTCTCATATAAGTTTCAGTTTTTTCTGGCCCAGAGGTTCTTGAGAAGACTTTTTAATGACCCCTCCCTTTTTTGCTTTTCCTTGATCACCCTGGAAAGAGGCTTGACCCTTTATTTTAATAATTTAGAATTCCCTTTACCTAGGGAGGCTTTGTACCAACTTTGTTTAAAATTGGCCCAATGGTTCTTGAGAAGTAGTTGAAAATCTGAAAAGTTTACAGACGGACGGACAGTCGGATGGACAGACAGACGCCGGACAACGGGTGATCAGAAATGTTCACTTGAGATTTCAGCTCAGGGGAGCTAAAAAACTCAGAAAAAACGTGACTGAGTATGCAGCGTTCGAACATAGAAGAGCGTAGTAGGGCAGCTGGTATGGTGTCTTCAAGGGTTCCCTTAAAGATGTTTGTTTAAAAATAAAACAATTAAAAAAATTGTTGTTCCTATGGGTTGAAAAGTACTTTAACTACAATAAGAAATGGAAAAATGTCTTCTGTGCCTTTTACAGCAGTTATACAGAAATTTTGATTTTAGTAACCTTGGCAACATCATTCATCAAATTAAAAAAAAAACTGATAGAGACAATTATGTATCTCAGTGTAGTCTATTTGCATGCCAAGTTATATTGAAATTAAAGGAAAACTATAGAAGGAGTAGCATTTTAAATGTATTTCGCAGAAATCTGTAATTTTAGTAACTATGGCAACACTTCACCAAAATCAAAACCGATGAACAGAATTATGCATCTCAGTGTAGTCTACTTGTGTGCCAAGTAATATTGAAATCAGACCAAAACTGTAGGAGGAGTAGCGATTTGAAAAATTGTTTACATACAGACGGACGGACGACGGACAACTTACTATCGCATAAGCTCTTCTGGTCACTGACCAGTAGAGCTAAAGATACCACACGACTATTAGAAGATCGTACCGTAAAATTGTGGCAACTGCTTGTATGATGCAACCGAATTCGGATGCAAAAGCAGTAAGTGGCTAATAGGCGTCAGGCTAGACATTTTGTTTGATGTCATCCGAGAGATAGGGCTACCATCGCTGTTGCACCCTCTCTGACCAACCTGGTAGCCGCCAACGTTATATCAGAGTACAAAAGGTGTTCAATCGCTTTCGGGAAATTAGTTTGCGAGCAAGAGGGCCATTTGAGGGTATTGTGTTGAAATAAAGACATTAGCAAATTCGACTGAGCTAGACAAGACGGCATTTTAGATTTATCGTGTTGATAAGGCAGACGCTTTTGCAGATGAAAATACCAAGTGGTGCGTAATCAATTTTGTCTAGTGTGTTTGGCAAAACAATTTATAAAGTCCAAATATTGGAATACTGGGAATAAACAGAAAATAGAGAGTTGCCTGAAAAGAGACTAAATACAAACTAGCTAATGTTTCCAAGACGTTCACTTAAACAGTTTTCGTTCAAAAAGGAATCCATTTGGAATCCACTCTTTGGAAAACACATAGAAAAACTTATTTTACTTTTCCCGTTTGTTAACACTTAAGATTTTTAAGACATAGCTCTTTAATCAGCCATTTGTATTAAAAGAAACCGCTTCTTCTGCTTACGTCTCTAAAGAGCCTTTTCCTTGGTTAGCTTATCAATAACTTGCAAACTAATAAAGCTTTTATTTGTCATGAAAATTACCTTTCGGTAGTACTGTTGCAGGAATGTTTTTATTGGATATTAGATTCATAGTTTATATATTACATCGTTTACCTTATCACTTCTTTGTAGAATGGCTCCATTTCAAGCCAATGCATCGTCTGAGCGACAGTGACAAGATCAACGCTACAGTCAGAAAGGAACTCCATTTGCTCAGCCCTGCTGATAAAGAACGACACATTACTCTGCTTATGTACCATTCTGGCTGTCTTTATCTGGGTCTCACTTACATCAACACCTGTCACCTTCTGGAAGTATTTACAGAGCGGGATTGTACTTATACCAGTCCCACATCCGACATCTACTGCTGTGTCTAAAGTTCCTGTGCCTGATTTACTGTATTCAGAGATGAATTCATACATTTCGGGAGGATATGTTGGTCGGAATTTATGGTACATATCTGAATGTTCCGAGCCTACAAATAGCTCCATTTTGTCTGGGAAAATTTTCCTGAGAATAAATAAAACATTTTAATTGATAAAATTTGTGTAATCTTCGGTTGCATTAAAACGTATCCTAATTTTTATAATTGAAAATTTTTGACACTAAGACACAAGAAAAGAGTTCCGTTAACATCATATTTTAAAAAAGTTTTAAAACTTATTCTAGGGTGAATATTGCTGATCCCTATCTCATAGGGTAATAATTTATATATACAAACCTAAAATCTTACATTCGATGAGGCGTATCACACTTGAGTTTTTCTTAACACTACTTTTGGATTGTAATAAAAAAAGTCTTATTTGGATTAATGATTAGAAAAAAAGAATAAATCTATTCTAGGAACATTTGACGTGGTTGGTAGCAGAAATATTTAGCTAACGTGTTTCGTCAAAGTTGGTTTTCCCCTTATTCCACGTAGAACCGTTACTTGTGCTTCTCCTGTTATTGGATGTCCTGTGCAATACTGAGGTAAGTTTCGCCTTGCGATATTTCTACAGTTAATCAATAGATTAAAGGACTTATGACTAATTTTTTTTTAATTGAATGATAGAATTTTTGCAAATTTGGTTCTTTGTTGTTAATGTTGTCTTGAGAAGTATGCAATTTTCCACATCCATATGCAATGAGATATAAAAATCTTGCTTTGTATCTTACGATCAAATCACCATATATTCTTAGGGGTTCATGTACTGTAGGAGTAGTGAGTGAATTTTTCAAGGCTTAAGTTAAAAAAGACGGAATACTACCGATCAAGCTGTACTACATTTTTTTCTGATTTCTAAACCCATATGTGTAGAATGTATGTAAACAGTCAGAAATTGAACTTTGTAAGCAAGAAATTGAAGGATCAGCATCACATTGAAGTATGCAGAGGATATTTTCGAAACCTTTACTTTGGTTTTTTTATAGAAACAAAAAGAACATTAATGATTTGATCTTTGGTCAAAATTAAAATTAAAAGAAATCTAGTAAGATTGACTGATTCTGAACAAACTAGGTGAACATCAAATGAGGTTGACCGCTCTACGTACCTAAAGTATTATAATCACACGCAACGAATACCGCCGAGACATGCTTAATAAACCAAATGCTTCAGCAGGATTGTAGGATTTTAATAAAATTAAGACATTTCTGGATATTCAGAGGTGCCTTTGTTTTATAACACAAATGAAATAATCTATTAAATGCAGGATAATACGCAATCCTGGACAACGTACTTTGAAAATAAAAACTCACAGTGTTAGGTGGTCATAAAAAGAGACATTCGGAATTTATTTTACAAAAAGGACATGCAGTTTGCCCCAGAACATTTTTTCCTGGTTATTTCCCCAGTTAAGGTTAGGAATGTTTAATGATTTCAAATGCGTTTTTAGATTAATACAAGTATACAGATATATAAAGTATAACAAGTATATGCAATATATCTTTGACAGAACTATACAATTTTACTACTATTTCAGTCTTTGAATTTTCCCAATGATGAGAGGGAGACTCTAATTTGTTATTTTTAAGCTCATATCGTCCACCATACATAAAGGAATTTAAGTAATATTACTTTTGAAAATTAAGAAAAAGGTCCTTAAATTCTGCATATGTCTTTTAATCTCAGTGTGTGTTTGTCTGTCTGTCATTGAAACATTGTACACCAGAAGCCTATTCCTTGTTTTAATCAATAAAGGCATATCCAATGGCATGTGTATTTTGCTTCTTTGGTACTATTCTGCGATTAAAGATTGTAACGGATTTGTATGAAAGAGCATATTCTGAGTATTATCAATTTTTAAACCGAAGCAATTCAGCAATTCAAATATCCTGTTGTCGTTATAATATGGTGTCCGTATAGGGCCATTTGCAAAAGCTCAACAGCGCGTTCAGAGAAACACGCTAACACAATTATACAAAATGTGTCATCGTGCTTATACACAACACGCCGTCGCGCTAACACGCTTTCAAACAACATGCTGTTGCGCTAACATAACTTTACACAACACACCGTCGCGCTGTCAAACATCTCGCTAAAACAACTTTGTGATAGCGCGACGGCGAGTTGTGTGTTAGCGCGACGGCGTGTTGTGTGTTAGCGTGACGGCGAGTTGTGTGTTAGCGCGACGGCGTGTTGTGTGTTAGCGCGACGGCGTGATTTTCTGAACGCGCTGTTGAGCTTTTGCAAATGGCCCTATCTGGACACCATATTATATTATTATACTTTCATGTTAAATACTAAAATCTGATTGGTTTAGACACATTTAACAATCCGTAATATTACCCTCAGCGTTAGCAACACACTTGACAACGGGTAACATTACGAAAATATCACATGCGTTCAAATCATGCGCGTACGGTTCACCGTAAAATTCTCAAAACGTCGGTTGTGCGTTTGAAAGAAGCCGAATAAACGACGTCAATAAAAGCTTGCGTCCGATGTAGCTTACTTGAAAAAGACAAACGACAGACGAAACATCCTTGCGAGTGCAAACTTTAGGTGATAAAGGACTTTCTGAGTAGCAAACAAATAATAAAGAGGTTGGTAAATCTTTTACGAAGCTTTCCTATTGAGAAAAATAGAAGCGGGGAGTTTGAAAGCTTTCTAAGCGTGAAGTTAACGACGATCTCCGAATTTTTTTATGACATCCGAAATCAATAAGACATTCAGTATAATAAAATAAATAGTGCACGTTTTTGAGGGTAACAGTTGAAATTGACACCCCTTGGAAAACCATTGTCAACCTCCGCTGACGCGTCGGTTGACAATAGTTTTCCTTGGGGTGTCAATTTCAACTGTTACCCTCAAAAACGTGCACTATTTATATAATGACTTCATTTGCAAAGATGTACATCCTTTCCTTGGATCGTATTTTTGCTGACATGTTTCATATGATTATCAAGTACTAGGCCATTACTTGATTTTAATCTTGTCTCCGGATTACTCCTTTTACCTGAGGGCTCAAGGCGAGCGTGACGGTTCTTTATCCTCTTAGGTACCTGATTCCCCTCTTGTTATCCGGGTCCTTATTTTTGTTTCTAGTTTCTTGTAGTTTACAGGATTCATAGATTGTTTATGGTTCGTCTTCTTTGCCTTTTCCTATGTTGCGTAACTAAACATCTTTCTTTTTATACAACGTTAAACTAAAAACTTGAAAACAGGACCAGCAGTGTGCTCATGTGAATTATCTCACATTCTGACCATAATCTTTGTACAGTTTAGCTGGAGCACTGTTTAGAGGTATTAGTTTACTTGTATAGAATTTCGCTTACTTCCCCTAATTCTGGCTGTTTGAGTGCGTGCAAAATACTTTGTCTTCAATATATTTAAGGAATGAATTCAATAGCTACCCAAGTTATACTGTATAACCTGGGTTGGGACAGTTTACGCTTTATAAACCGGGTAGCTATTAAATTTCTTCCTTATAATTTAATTTTCTATCATTAATAGTAAAAAATAAGACAATTTTCTCTTCACAGTTTCCTACCTACCAGTGACAATAATATCTTGGCTGAAGTATAATATGATACATGCATGTGAGATCTTACCTGTTAGCTGATTAAGTGGAAAGTGGGAAATATTGAATTCTGAGAAAAATTAAATATCCTTCAATGCAGTGACAGGTATGAAAATATGTAATTGTACCACCATGAAAATGAATTAATGCACAGAGGTTTTTAAAACGGCGAATTGCACAGCTCAGTGTGTCATTGCTAAGGCAATCGGGACATTACTGTATAGAATAACAGCACCAGCCTAGCTATTAAACAACAGCAAAATTACAACATTGTCTAAAAAAGGTAATCTGATCCAGAGTTCAAATACAGTACTAGAATGTATGCTGTAAGCGTTGATTAGCTTATCGAAATCGACCCTTATTTCTAACAATGGCCAAGCAGAGAATGTTCACATAACATGTTGGTGTATTATCCCAAAGACTGCGCAGGTTATTCAGGTGCACTGTTTAAAAAACCAAGATGCACGACCAAATGACCCAAATTTATAGAGAGAGAGAGAGAGAGAGAGAGTATCGTGCATATTCAGGTACCTGTCTCTTGAACGCCACGGGGAAATCTTACATCTTACTTTCGGTTTCACAAACTTGCTATGAAGAGGCTGTAAAGCACCTCTAATAATGGCCTCTCACAAAGATTTGATGCAGATGGTGCGAGACGGATTGGGCACTTTAGTTTTTGCTTTTGGTCACAAAGTTGGAATAATTGACGCCTTCATTGAATTAAAAGATCCGTGTACAGTCGAGGAACTGAGTCAAAAATCTGGCCTTAACTCAAGGTTAGTACTACATCTGTTAGCGTATAGACTAAATGTTTAATCTCGAAGTGAGTCCTACATCTGTTGGTGTATAGCATTTGTTTAATCTATACTCAAGTGTTTATAAATTTTAATTTCAACAAGAAACCCTATTAAAATGAATTTTAAAAACAAAATATATAATTTAAACTTGTATTTACTAGTTTCCTCTTTCATTGTATTACATGATGTGTCATATCGGCGGAAGTGAGCCAGACAACAAAGCACACAGTTTGAGTAGGGTTTTGATTCAAGATTCAATTCATATAAAAATTCTATAAAAGAAACTGCATAGGCATTGTTTTCACATAATTATTTATGCTATATTACTTTTAATTTCTTCAGATTTTCTTCCGGTTTTTACGTTAATGGGCATTGTGTAAATCCTGAATTGTAGTAATGGATTGAAATATTATATATATCATATTTCCAGCTATTTCTGGTATACAGCGATTTAAATATGGCCACTGAGTAATGTCTGAATAGCTAGGGATTTGTAGAGTTAATGTTTACTTTATTAGTTTCCCTATTATCTAGTGAGAAATGATTCTTGAATCTACTGCCAGTTATTTTCTTTTAAATATGGCAAAATCGAAAAGGTTAAATGTTTATTTGTTACAAGATTTGAAAGCATCCGTATTGAGTTCAGTAACAAAAAGCCCATGGGCCACATCGCTCACCTGAGCACATTGGCTAGTAAAAAGTAGAAATCAGTTTAGTATTGAAAACGAATGTGCAACGCAGGAGAAACTGATAAAAAGTTTTCGAACGTAAGACTATATAACGATCGTGCGGATGGTGTCCGGTTTATCAATTCTCGATCGGTAACTATCCTAGTGTTAGTCATGCCCAACAGACATCAACATAATCGGAACGGTCAAGTACAGAATTAAGAAGTGCATTAATTAGTTCCTTACAAAACACATACTGTACCTACTGTTCTTTAAAGGCGGCTGCCGTACTGTAGGTGGACAGCTCGGTCAGATGGTGTCAGTTCCAAGTTTGGAACATGCTCTGAACATCTTGATAAAACGTTTTAAAACGGATATGAAACATATTCAAATAATTAGAAAAAGACGAGAAACGAATGCCAACAAATTGATAATTTTGCCATCCGTTTGACGTTCATTACCGCTATCCGGTAAGGTATGACTGAGCCCTTATAACTAACCACTGCACACAAAATCTTTTATTTGTTTCACAAATCTCATAAAAGTTTAAACTTTTGATAACAGATACATACAAGAATGGCTAGGATGCATGCTCGCGGCAGGAGTTGTGCGAATTAACAAAGAAAAGAAATACTCACTTCCGTACAGCAAGGATTTGTTGAAAAGATGGGGTCATATTGCCAGTGTCATCCCAATATTTAGTGAGCTGTTTGGAAAACTAGCTGAAGACATGTCAAAAGAAAAGCCAGAAGGTTTGCTATCGTGAATTAATATCATAAGATTACAAAGATTTTATTGACTGCGTTAACAGTCAGGAATTGTTTGTTTGTTTGTTGTTTAACGTCCCTCTCGCGAATTTTTCACTCATATGGAGACACCACTTGCCGGTGGAGAGCTGCAATTTTTGTCCTATGCTCGGCACTTTGGGCCATTGAGCAGTGGGGGATCTTCTTCGTGCCAGCACCTACTGCGACACGGGGCCTCGGTTTATACGGTCTCATCCGAAGGACCTGTCTCCACGTCCCACAGTGGGATTCGAACTTGCAACGTAAGGATCAACTCCTTACTCCGCGACTTAATAGAGCAGACGCTCTACCACTGCGCCACGCGGGCAACCAGTCAGGAATTTACTGGGTTTTCCTGTATTTTAATATGGAACAGACGAACATTTTAGATACATGTACTACATGTAGCACATGTTTCTTGGTGATTTTACTATCTTGCTATGAATCTCAGTGCTTGTATAAATTCAAATTTTCAAAGTCGTTGAGGTGAACTACTTGTGATGATAAAAACGAAGGTGGCCGATTGACGGAATTTTTAATAAACAGAAATTAGGAACATGAATAAATACGTGTTGCAGTACATATTTTCGACAAAAATGTAAATGAAGAATATTTGGTACATAAGTTTTTACTATAAAACTTGTAAAAAGAGTCCATTGAAGTGAATTGTAGATTTTGTACTCTTTTAAAGGTTACACGTACTATCAACCTTTTCTGAAGTGGTTAGACATTTTCCAAACACCGGAGGCTGTACACAGCTGGAACAACAATCTCGTGATTCCTGTACTCAATCTTAAATCAGGTTTTTGTCTTTTTCTTTTGATAATCATCACTAACAAAATAATATTTATGACATGTTTACTCATTTATACAGTGGATATAGCTCATAGGATATCGTTTTCATATCCACGGTTGTGACGTCACAATGTTTTTGCGTGAATTTGATCAAGTCAAATATTGTGGATTTACATATATAAAACAGTGTAAAACATATGCATGTGATAGCTATGTGTATAACAATCTACCCTGGTTTGTGGTAAGAGATGATTTTTTTTTATCCAACTCGTTGTGTTTTTATTCCCTCACCTGGGCTCGAAGAAAAACACACACAGCTCGTTGGATAAAAACTCATATCCAACCAAAAACTATGGGAGATCCTATGTATATAAAATTTATTCTTTGCAATATAAAAAGGATATTTAAGATGTTATTTTCCACCCCATAATGGACTTTTGCGAGAAGCACTGACTCTCACAGTCGACCGCTTACTTGCAATATGTACGGAGGTACAAAATTGATAATAGTCTTATAGATAAGAAAATCTTAAGTTAAAAGTATGGTGTTAGGGAGGCTAACATGATTTAGCGGTATACAATCAACACAACCAGATGCTGAGAGGCAGAATAACGTAACTTAAAATACCTTATTCGTGAGGGGTAGTATCTCCTTTCAGTCTCATTTTCTGAAGGAATCAAATAAGGTAGAAAAAAACATTCCGGAAAGATAGGAGTGACAGGAAGGGAGGGGAATGGGGATACGGTTTTTTGCCGCTCCCTTCCTTGGCATCGTAATATTTGATTTGTAATAGCCCATTATTTATCTTTTTATTCAATTTTAACCTAAATATTTACATCGAAAAAGAGCTTCCGTATATTGCCATAGTATAAAAGTAAGTCATCGACTGTAAAAGTCAGCGCTTCTCGCAAAAGTCCAATAGGGAGTGGATATTTGGAAAGACTACTAATCATCTGGTCAACAAAAATCTTACTCTTAATGCATGACTTTAACATGGTGGAAAATTTATTTTTATTAATTACTCATGAATGTCAATGTCGAATCTATGAACTATCAAAAATGATTGCATTAAATAACTCGTGTTGAAAATTCAATTCAAAATCAAAATTCTTATAAAAACAAACCATCCTGAAAAATAAAATAAAGTTTTATTTTGACAGAACAGCTCTTTGAAAATGCATATCAATAAAAAAAAATAATAAAAACCATTCATCAAAAGGCCTGCATTGTTGCATGTGCAAAAATGTGTTTGAGGCAAAGTCATGGTTGATTAAATTATTTCATAAGAATATTCTTGTACACCTTTGAAGAAATAACTGTGAAAGTTCAATCATTTTCGTGGACTATAATAGAACTTTTCACACATTCTGTAGTGATTGATTGATTGTATGTTGTTTTACGTCCCTTTCGAGAATTTTTTTCACTCATATAGAGACGTCACCATATACAGGTGAAGGGCTTCAAATTGAGACATTTACTCGGCACTCAAGGCCATTGAGCAATGAGGGATCTTTATCGTGCCAACGCCTGCCGTGACACGGGGCCTCGGTTTTTAAGGTCTCATCCGAATGACCCGCAACTTTTACTTCAAAGTTCCGAGCGCTTGGCGAAGGAACTGGTTGCTACCTATTTTTTTCTCGACGTATAGGTCAGTCGAGGCCGGGGCTCGAACCCACGACCTCCCGATCACGGCGCGAGCGCTCTACTGAATGAGCTAACGCGACGGTCATTCTGTAGTGACTACCTAGAAATTTTGTGGAGCTTGTAGTTATTGTTTTTGTTTGTCTAAAATCATAAATATTTAAGCTCTCATCATCAAAAGTGTACAAAAATAATAAATTGTGTTCCGTGTATCATAAAATGCTTTGAGCCTATAAAATAGTGTGTAGCATTATGTCAAATGCTGACTGACGTTTTTCATACTTATTGTTAGGCCATTATTTACATACTGAATTGTCTACGAATTTTTCCGTTTTTTCCCGATTATGACAAGGAGCACAGGGCGGGTGTGACCGGTTGGCAGGGGATGCTCAATCCTCCATTGCACCTGATCCCACCTGTGATGTTTTAGAGGTCCATGTTTGCTCTGCTCCAAAATTTGTATTGTTTAATGGACTTTCGAGCTTGAATACTGTTCTTTATCTCTTTACATTTCATTTATTTATCCAACTAAATATCCCTAGCAAAATCTGTTTTGCAGGTAAAGATTTCACGCTGTTAGACCTAGGATGTGGTTATGGTAGACATGTAAGAGATATTGCTGAGCAGTATCCCGACTGCCACATTTTCGGTATAGACTCTGATGAAGAATCCATAAAACAGGCCAACATAGAACTTGCTAAAACAACCCTACAGAACGTCAAATATGAAATAATGGACGGTGGAAAACTCCCCGATGACTGGGTAGGCAAATTTGATTTCGTCATAATGAACGACGTTCTCCATGATGCTTACGAAGTAGACAGTATTCTGAAAGAGACAAAAAAAGTTCTGAAAGATGACGGTTACGGAGCAGCATTTGATCCCCCTGTATCCTCTTACCCTGAAAACCTAGTAAACGACAAAACGGCACAATTCTACATGCCCTTTAGTCTTTTTTCATGCCTTCCCGAGAGTTTATCGGGTCCTCCAGGCGGTGAGGGCCTTGGTGCTGGTTGGGGATATGAGCGTAGGAAAGAGAAGATAGAGAAGCATGGATTCCAAGTGATTAAGGTTCATAAAGATGTTGACAAGGTACAAGATGGTATCGTCTTCAAAAAGTAAAGAATTATACAATATTGTGGACTTAATTAATTTATTCGGAGCAATTTGATAGATATTAAAATAAATAAAATAATTTGCACGAAAACACAGTGCTTTAATATAATTAACTGCTTACGAATAATGCTAATAAACTCGGTATTTGGCTACATGTAAGACCAAAAGCACTCTAGTGTAACAGATTATGGTCATTGGGACTTCGTTAGTGTTTTATGTTAATCGTATTTAACACAGATATTTATTATGTCTGTTTTATATAATAACATGTATAAATATCATTTAGCAAAATTTTTATGTTTATTTGCTTCTTTTTCTTATGTCTTTTGACAATGTCTATTCATTTGTATACCAAAATAACCCAAGAAAAATAAATCCACCGAGAATATTGCATTTATTCTAGTTTCTTAGTTACGTGCTAGGGAAACCACCCCACGGATTGACGGATTGAACCTGAAGTGTATATTGCTTGATAAAACACATCTAACACATTCTCTGGAAATAAAATCTTACCGTGAGAGCTCATTACAAAGTTCAGAGCGTAAAAACTGGACAGTGCTTGTGTAAAATTAATTTCTTTGATTACTTAATCTGCTACTTGTAAGATTTCAAAAAAAATGAATGTTCCCTTGGTTAGGAATAAGATTACAAAAGAGTTTCAATAAGGTATTGGCATATAATGGGGGAAAAATCTTTGAAAAAATTATCTTCTCAACATCTTCCAGGTTATATGCTATTAAACATCTTCATGTAAATTGAAATATATTCATATTGGGAGGGGTAAGGTAAAAAAGCGGTTCCAATTTGATCAAATTTGCTACTTTAAATCCCTGTGAATTTAAAAAAAAATGTTTAAATTAGGAAGAATGACACACTGTCTCATATAACTCTGAGATTTAAACAATGTATTAATCTTCCTGATTTTCCATATTAAGCTAAAATATTCAAAAACTACGAAAAAGGATGTAGTAATTTGCTTTATTCAAATTTCAGCAAGATCATGACATCTGAGAAGTATGAAATGTCAACTTCTATCAATATCAATACTTTTTATGATATATGTATATAGGATCTCTCATGATTTATGGTTGGATATTATTTTTATTCGGCAAGTTGTGTTTTCCATCCCCGAGCCTTGGGAAGGGGATAAAAACACGATGAGTTAAAAAATCAAATCCAACCACAAACCATGGGAGATTCTTTTTATCACATGTTTTACACTTACCTATCAGATGCTTTACGTTGTTTTTTTTATATTTGAATACATTTTATAAAGCTTCATCACTTTCACTCAAAAACCATTGTGACGTCACAACTGTTGATATGAAAAGGATATCATGAAAACGATGTTCTTTGTATAAAGGAATATATGTGTTTACATTTTCAAATTTCTCTGTCCGAGATCAAGCTAGGGCCTACAAATAATTTTTAAAAAATGGTTTCTTTATAAAGCTATTGGTTTATTGAAATAAAATTGCGTGCAGGGAGAGAGGGAGAGAGAGAGAAATGGGCGGGGCTTGGAACACGCGATATACGCCTTTAGCGTTTATGCAAATTACACGCAAACCAATTGCTTGATTAATTCATAAGACCAAACAAACTAGACAGTTATTCCATACAGTATCTTTTTATTATTGATTTTCTTAAACAGTTTAGAAATTTTGATGTTTTGACAGGCCAGATTAATTTAAAATACACATTACTTTATTTAAAGATCAAAATTATAATAATCTGTTATAATTGTTGTATTTTCTTCACGTATGAATCAATCTCATTTTAGTCCCTTTATAAATAAAACTCTCAGAACTACACAGCTCAACAGTAATTTGCATAATAAATGGCAGAAACCACTGAAACGTAGAAACACATTAAATATGACAACATATATTACATAGATGTGCTAATTGCATTTTCGTTACAAAAGGGTGAAATGTAATACTCTTATGATAATAGCTTATTCGGTCATGCGCATTGTGCCACCTGGAAACAAAAACGCCCTATTCACATGTAACAGTCTATCGATGATGATGATGATGATGATGTAAGCCATCATAATAGGGAAGAGAAGGAGTCATGTGAGATGCTGAGTTAATAAGAATTGTTTTCTATAGACTAAATCTTGTGGACAATTAGATTTTTTTTTATTTCTGTCTTGTTGAGTGTTGTTCCTGTATCTTTCTTATAACTGATTTTTCTTAGACTATAACAGTCTTTTACAGTCATATGTTTTTTTACTTCTCTCGGTTGACAGCTGCCTTACGTACGAGTTAGACATACATGTAATATGTAAACGTTTTTTATGCTATATATCAGTTTATTTCTTATTAAAAAAAATTTATTATTACAGCGCAATTCTAGATTGGATTCTTCTTTAAATTATTTTTGATCTCTTCTTGCTGACCATTTGATGGCTTGTTCTGCTACAAACTAATGTCTTTTTTCAATAACAATGCCTGGGAGATTCAACACTTGACTAAAAAATCCTATATTGTCCTCCAGAATATTTTCCATGGACAAGGGAATTAAAAAAAATATGAATATATACACCAGTAGACTTATTGTTGATACAGCAACATCTCCAGTCAGATGGACTGCCTTGTTTGTTTGTTTGTTTTTTTTTTTTTTTCGTAGTAGAATGCAATATGGGATCTGATAAGCGAACAATTTTATTTCAGAAGAAAATTGTAAATAACATCTTGATGATTTTTCAGTCTTTGAGCAAGAGCATTTATGGTTTCTATAAATTCAAGGTGCTTCTATAACGTTAACAAAAAAAGACCATATCGCCAAAAATGAGTAAAATCAACTTAGTTATATTTCTTCTTAAAATAACACATTTCTCAATTCTATATACAGTGGAATAAGTAAGAAACACTTAACACAAAATCAGATTCTATACCATGCTATTTGTTGCTCTCAAGATGCGCCTTGCATAACGAAGTCACACATCGATGTTTTCACGATATATAAATGTACATGTACCCCTATACAATCAAGTAAAAGTAAATGGCAAACATTAAGTTCCATCATTCGCACTGTGCCACCATGTGACGGTACATACTGTCGTTCTGTACATATTGTCGCCGACGAAAATATTTACCTACCCTTACTGTACATATTGTCGTTCATCAGTCAGGCGACAATATGCGCCGAGACGAGCCTTTTTTCCCTCCTACATAATGGTCGGCAAAATGTGCAGTCATGGATCGGCACATATTGTCGTCGGCGACATATACTGTGAACATTTGCACATTATGTCGCCGATATTGTTTACAAAGGTCATGAATAGAGAGAGAGGGGGGGAGGGAGGGAGAGAGAGACGACAGAAGGATAGACCATGGCAGATAGATAAGTAAACAAGTTGTTTTTATTTATCTGGCATTAGTCGCAATACTGTAGGGAGAAAAGATTTTGGTCAGAAGATTGTGTTCAGGATTCATATACACCACTATGATATGTTAAGATACGGAATTCTTGATTTATCTGATGAATCAGCCTATTCTTTTTTCTCGTTATATACATGACTGTATGCTTGAAGATTGAATGTAAATTTTTGGGTTCAGTAATAAAGATTATCTGGATAATATTTTTGCGATATTCTTATACATGTTCCAATATAAATGGAGTTGAGGGTCGAAAAGTTTTAGATCACCTGAACTGAAAGCTCAAGCTCTGTCCGTCTGTAAACTTTTCACATTTTCGACATCTTCTCAAGAACTACTGGGCCAATTTCAACCAAACTTGCCACAAAGTATTATTGGGTAAGGGGTACTCAAGTTTGTTCAAATAAAGGACCATGCTCTCTTTCAAGGGAAATAATTAATAAATAAAAAAAAAATTAGTGACACCTTTTAAAAATCTTCTCAAGAATCATTCTACCAGAAAAATTGAAACTTACGCGTATGTGAAAGCTTCATTACAAAGTGTAGATTCAATTTCGTTTAAATCATGACCCCCTCCCCCTTCCCCCGGGGTAGGATGGGGTTACAATAAGTGATCAGTTTTACACAGGAATATATAGGAAAAAATCTTTCAAAAAATCATCTCAAGAACCACTGGGCCAAAAGAGTTGATATTTATGTGAAAGCTTAATTACATAATGTACATTTAAGTTTTAAAAAATGATCCTCTTAAGGACAACAAGCCCATGATTAGTCATATTTATATGGCATCCTCAGGTATTGTAGATTCATGTTTGTTCAAATAATGACCCCCGGAGCTAAGGGCAACAATGGGCGATCAAAGTTTTGCATAGAAATATATAATTATAGGAAAATTCTTTTTAAATCTTCTTCTAAAGAACAACAAAGCAATGATTAGTTATATACAACAAAGCAATGATTAGTTATATATATATATATATATATATATATATATATATATATATATATATATATATATATATATATATATATATATATATATATATATATATATATATGGAAACATTGTCAGTTATTGTCATGCACAGTTAGAGAAGGTATATATATCGCCGGCTGCAAAAGTTGGTGGGTTGAGGGACATTCTTCTTCAAAATATTGTTAATCTCTTCGCTGCAAACTAATGTCTTTTCTTTAAATGACAACGCTTGAAGATCCAAAACTTGATTTATAAAATCAGGGAGTGTCCTCCAAATTTCACGAACAATGGCATTGATAAAATATGAATACAAACATAGACATCGGTAGATTATTGCTGACGCAGCAACATTTCCAGTCACGTGTATTATCATGGCTTGCGGTTTTTTTGTTTTTTGTTGTTTTTTTTTTGTAGAAAGCAATATGGGATCTGATAATTGAATAATTTCATTCCCAAAGAAATTTTTTAAATAAGCTCTTCAAAGCACCTGATGAATTTTCATTTTTCAGTCTTTGATGTTTGTAGAATTTCTAAAAAGTTAAAGGTTCTTCTACGTAAAAATAGGATTTAAAACACCAGCAATTAGAAAATTTATTGGGAAAAAAACTCTCGCTGGGGACTTTTTCTTAAAATAACTTTTAAAACACTCCTAAATATCCATTGGAATAATTCAATGAACTGAACAATAAGGCATGATCCTACATTTGATTCTCTCAAGATGTGTTACTTTGGCGAAGACACATGTCTAATGCAGCATGATACACGTTACCCCTATTTACAGGCAATCCGTAATCGTACACGGCGAATTCTACAAGAATTTCGGAGTTCAGAATCCATCGTGCTCAATGTGCCTTCGGGGAATACAATCTAACGATACGATTTCAGAGAAGGCAGTAAATGTATTCAAAGAAAGTCAGTGTTAACCATCATTATAGCGTAGAAAAACAGTCAAGGTGAGATTATTCCATGCCTAATAGCCTCAGATTCAATGAATTTGAATACATAACAGATGTGTACGGGAGGAATACTCAGTATACATGTATTTAATAAAAATTGTTTTATTTAAACTAAATCAAACGGACAATGAGAATTACTTTTACGTCTGCCTTGTTTAGTGTAATTCCTGTATTTTACTCATAACTTTATTTTTCTGTTACAGTTATGGGATTGTTCTTTTTTAAGGACAGATGATACAAACCAAAAATGGATACATGGAATGGTATATATTTTTGGAACTATTTTGATTGTAAATGGTGCAAATAATAAATTAATAAAATATTAAGAAATTGTAAACTTTCTATGATGTTCCAAATCTGTGCGGTTAAATTTACTCATTTTACTTACAAAAAAAAACATGAATTAAGTTGTTATTGTCAAGATTTTTGATAAAAGTTTTGTTTATATCATCTATCCTTAATTTCATTTTCATTAGCTGTCTCAGGTTGACAACAGCCTTACTAAAACAGAGATAACTTTGCAACTGACATAGCATTCTGTCCTCTACAAATTTTCATCATTAACAATGTAAAAGGTAAAGATAACGAACAGTGATTGATCTTAAAAAATCCACAAACAATACAAATATGTGAAGAGGGTATAAACACGGACCCCTGGAAATTTCAGAGGTGGGATCAGGTGCCTAGGAGGAGTAAGCATCCCCTGTTGGCCGGTCACACCCGCCTTGAGTCCTATGTATTGATCAAGTAGATGGAACTAAACTCAAAATTTGCTTAAATTCATTTCTATTTGTTGATGTAAAATTGTGATTATTACAGAAAAATCAACATTGGTCACTCAGCTAAAGGTTAATATTCATCATAATATTGTTGTTCTCGATGATCATTCTCTTGTTCTGCTGCAAACTAATGTTTTTTCCTTTAAATACAACACTTGGAGATTCAAATGACTTGAGTAAAATACACAGCAGCATTGCACATAAAATCCCACAGAAACGAACCTATTCCATATTCCATGCTTTGCAAAACTCTCAAGATGTAGTACTTTGGTAAAGATACGTACGGAACCCTCTATACATTTGTACAGTCAAGAGGATGCAATAGAACCTCCAATATTTCATGCACCGCTACTTCGTAAAGCAAAGTTGTCTAGACTTCCAAAATACATAAGGCGCTGGAGAAAAGTGTACTTGTATAGCACCCCAACTAATATTCCACCAAGATGGGCTGAAATAGAAAATTACATATTTACAACTCGCTATGACTCTATGAATTAACTTAGATACATTGGCGGATCCGGAAGTTCATGAAAGGGGGGAGGAGGCCTGAAGGGCCGAAGAGGAAGGTATGGGTGCCACCTCCCACGGGTGGGGGTTCGGGGGCCTCTCCCACAAAAGTTTTGTTTAAAATGGATCAAAATGGTGCATTTTTTCAGCATTTTAGATTGAATTAGTTTAGTTTTTTTTCTTTCTCAATGGCCACTTTTTTTTAAAATTAGTTGTTTTTCAAGACCGACCGTCAAAAATTTTGAAGAATTTGAAAAATAAAATTTTGGGATTTTTTTTAAACATAAACATTAAAAATGAGACTTTTCCAAAAAAAAAAAAAAAGTGTTCAATCTTACTTATAATTTAGGAATATCGGCAGCGTTCTAAATGGACGTTTAATGTGTTTAATGTGTCGCTGTCAGGTTCTGACTTCCAAAATACAACTAATTTGCAATTTTTTAACACAGAAAATTTGGATTCTATGTAGAAGCCTGATTACATCTACTTCTTTTCAACTTAATTTAATATACTATCGATATAATTTGGAATATGAACAAATAATGATATTACATATCGAGGATTTAATATAAATTAGTTTGGAAAATTGTTGAAAAGGGAATTTTTTTATTCATTAATTTTTTTTCTGGAGGGGGGAGGGGGTAAACAACTGGTCAACTGTTACAATAGAGGGGTTTACTTTCTCAGTAGTAAACCATCCTGATTGTAAAAATATTGTACTAATTCATTTTTTAATATGTAAAAAGTCATATAGTTTAAGAACTTAGTTCAATAAAGTAACATTCATTTATCAGAAAAAAAAAATGCTTGAAAAAAATGCGAGAATACTACTGTGAAGCAATACCAAAACAGTACAGTAACTATGCGCCGTTTTGGTTGTTGGTATATGACCTTGTGTCTTCACTAGATCACGATTTCCCTACTGGCCTCTGTGTATTGTGTGCGTTCATTTCTGTTACGTAGTTGCTGTATATTTCACACTTTGAGCAAAAATTGGGTTAGGATAGAGCCTCATTTAAGTAACATGACTTAAAATGACATTTGAAAAAATATTGAAAGGTTTGTTTTTTTTCCGGCACCCCCCCCCCCCCCTTGAATCCGCCATTGAGATACTGGTAAATAACTAGACAGTCAGACAAACAACTAGAGAGAGAGAGAGAAAGAGAGAACGGTTTCTTACACGTGAAACACGTATCTGGCGATGTAATGTGTATCACAACCAGCTCGATCCAATAAACAAATTCATCGACTTTCGTAAAGTCAGATATCAGAACTTTCAATGCAAATATCACTCCTGTAAAAAATTAAATTGAGATAAGAAATAAAAAAAATACACATAAAATAAAAAATGTTGGTCATAAGTTGAAGTAGCTATAGATATCATTACCAAATTATAACAAATAATTAAGTTAGATATATTATTTTTAATGTGTGTTTTTATTAAAATAAATAAATGATGACATTGCAAATTAAATTAATTTCTTTTTATTTACAAAAGTATTAGAGTATTTACGTCGTTTACCTGAAATGCCCACGCATCCTCGAACAAGGTTTTTCTCCATGTCCTTGTAAAACAGAGCTGATAAAATTCTAAGAAATGTACAGAATAAGCTGCTGAGAAATGTGAAAACAACCATCATATATAAAAGATAACCCGGTCTGTATATCTGTTCTAAAATAGCTGACTTAACAGCAAGAAGGGCTATGTTCAGCATCAAGTGGCATTTGTCGAAGTGATATAATGGTCCAATCAAAAGTCTGTGATATTCTCCATCCTCGAAGACAGCGACTGGACTTACCCATACATCTTTTCCACCAGATCTTCGATCCCGAAGATCATAACAGCAAAAAAGAAGGAAGATAAAAGTGGCGGTTATGTATGGAAAATGCTCGAAACTGTTAAAGCATTCGGATACTTTATTTGATAAACCACTGCGGCCTTCGCTGACAAGATACGCCACTTCACACAATGTACCATTGTACATTTTCGTGTTCACGGTGTTGCTATGTTTTTGTTTAATGGGTAAGCGTTTTTGGTTTACCAAACCCGACACTTTTATGTATATTGTATGTCACTCGTAAGCTTTTTTGAAATGGTCAGAAACTCTAACTTCAAAATCATTTAATACAATTCAATTTTTATACATGTAGTATATTTGAATAAAACTATGCAAAATTTAAAATATTCAATTTTAAAGCTGCTTACAAAAATCATAAAGAAACAAGATTTATGAAGTACTTTTTATTGTGTTGGAAGGATGTTCAAATCTACACATTTATTATTAAATATCTTGCTGTGCATATTTTTATTCAGGATTTTTTTCCTTGCCAAGAAATAAGAATATATTAAAGAAGACAAAATAAAACTTTACGTGCATTAATTTGCAGGATTTTTTCAGTGCTAAATATTAATATTCAAACGTTTTTACATAAAATATCTAAATTATATTGCCATGATTTTTTCTTGCAAAATAAATTTTTTGAAACCTAAAAGTTAAAATTACAATTTTTGTACAAAAAAGTAAAGTTCATGGTATATTCAGATTGTATGTTACTCAGTAAGATGCACATCCCCCTTTTTTTTCTCAAGTTGCGATTTTGAATCATGCTATTTGAGTAGTTATCTAAAATATACTTCTCAAAAAATCCTCGAAATAATTCATGTCATGAGTGACAAACCTCAAACGTGAAGTAACTCCAATCACAACTTCTCAGGCCTTTCTGACAAGCGCAAAGCAACGCCAGAAGGCCCAAGAAGATGCGATTAGAAGAAACTCATTCTGTTACGTGCGTATAAATGATTTTTTCTCTTTTGTTCTTCATTTATTTATTCATCCATTCAATGCGATTCTAATGACTATATAGAATTTTTTTTCCTTTTTGAATTGCTTTAAATGAACGATTGATATTTTAATGAAACCAATCGGTGTCACCAAATCTGAAATCAAGTTAAACTTAAAAAGGGGTTCTTGTCTGTTTTCTGAATAAATGAAGTATACAAAATGTGTTTGCTTAAATATCTTTTATATTTAGATGTTAGAGATATAATATTTTTCTTTCCTTCTCATAATTGTAAAACTAAATACATGTAGAATGGTAAATTGAGTTTTTAAATCTGGCAGATTTAAAACATATCAAATAAACTGATTTTCCTCACAAACTAGAGTCTATAATTAACAGCATTTTCGTTACTTTATTTGGTAACAAAATAAATAAATTTTCAACTTTATCATTAACTGAGGAATAATAACAATCAAATAAAATGAAAGATGGAAAAGTTTCAATTTAAAGAATTCTTTTAAACCCTTACAGTTATATCAAATAAATATTCCACAAAAGTAAATTTTAACTATTGTCATTGTGTCCGAGAAATTATAATGTATTGAAGAAAATATTGCTTTTCTCTTTTTTTCTTTTTTAAATATTTCTTATTTGAATTCTAAATAGATGATATACGATTAATTCTCTTTTTTGTATTCCAAACCACGCAATGGACCCTACAACCTTTTCTGTTGATTTAATGACCATACTTAATATCATCTAAGAGGGAAATAAAATAACTGTGCATTGAGGAAAAAAAATTATTGCCGGTATTAATTCCTATTCATAATAACACGAATTCTCTTTGGTAAAATTCAGTTTTAAAATCAACAGTCAGTATACTTTATACTTATAAGTATTTGAATTAAAATAACTATTTAAAACAAAATGTTGTGTTTGAATGTAAATATTAAAATTGAAGCAGACATGCATTTAAAAATTAAAAAAAAAATCAGCGAGTTGTCGTTCTTGGTCCGTCAATGTTTTTGTTTACATGTTGCCATGTTCGGCGTGGTTTTGGGATTTCGCAGTAAAACTTGTCAATAATGGTGAATACGGCTGGCCCGTAATCCTTTTATACAGTCACTTCAATTCGTTCTATAATTTATTTTACGTGTTTCTCTTTCCTTAAAAAAGGAAAACTCGTCAACCGGTGCGGATTTAGAATCTTCCAGGATCATTAACATTTAATACGCTACAGGTAAACACAGGTAAGAGAAGATAAGACTGATCTATATATCAGGCATCAGTATGTGTCAAATTTTTAATGATCTTAAGTATAAATTTTGTATAGTTAATCTATATAAGGATTTGGGTTTTCGATATATATACAGATTATCTGCAAATTGTTACAAATATTTTAGGAGAACCACGTGCACACTTAATTAATGCCAGGGTGGCAGGTTTAATCTGAGGGTGGAAGGGGCATCATTATATTATGAACAGACTTGTTACAGACCTAATTAATTTATAACAGGTTCAGAGTATTTCAGAAATACGGATTGTAGGGTATGTCAAACAGAGGTGGGGTTAAGACGATTAATAAATTCTGGTGCATATGCACCTTTACCTGAATACGATAGACTCAACCTAATCCGTGGATAAATTTAAGTTCAGCTTGTTAATTTAAACTATTGTTTTAATTTTTCACCCTTGTGATAATAAAACATGTTAAACTCAAAAAGCTATCGTATAATTGATATTCAGTTAGATGTTAATTTGTTCAGATTTTCAATAAACTGTACACTGTTCATAAAACAACAATTCAACAAAAGTATATTGAGTACTTAAATTTCATAAAAAAGGATTTGTGAACTCTTGAATCTATGTGTGTTCTAAAGGCACAGTCTGTGATTTGTTTTCATTAAATCGTAGGGTTTTTAATGTTTTTCTATGTGCTTTTAAGTTCTTTTATTATTGATTGAGTATATGCCACAAGCTATTCAGGATTTTTTCTCCGTATGTCGCTTCATCGACTGCGACACAAATATGTCTTTGATAATTTTTTTTTTATAAGTATTTTGATATATTTTAAAATAAAACTAAAAAAAGGCCAAAGTAATTCCCCGTAAGCAATGAAAATGACCAAAGACTTGATATTTACCTTTTTTTAAACTCAGGCTAGAAATTAAGCACATTAAATGTTTAAAAAAGAAAACAAAACTGCAAGAAAAAGTTTTGGTTCTCCTTGACACGCTCAATACCTCAGTTTTCGTGTTATTATATAAAATATAGTATTACATTTGTGTAACTTGAAAAATTAAAAGCGAGGTCTTATCTAATATTAATTTAATTCATAAGATATACTCGTATGGCGAAAGACGAACTCATGGTTATATACAAGTATATATGAGATTTACTAAGTACATATTGAATATGCTTAAAGACAAATTTGTTAGTCAACGTCATAAATTCCTTTATCGTGGGTATGTTTTCCTAAAAGATTAGTTTTGAAACGTCAGGCTTCTTGAAACCATGGGATCATAACGAGATCATAAACTACTAAAACTATAGAAAACGACTATTAGTCTAATATTGAACCTGAAGTACTTGTTCTTTTTCTCTCATATCGCAATAGAAGATTTTTTTTTATTTCCCAACATGAAAGCGTAATATATTCATTTGGTGAAAAAATTCTTTCGAAATGGAGCATCGAAATAAAATGTATACATGCAGAAAATTTTAAAAAGTTTTGGAATAGACTGTGCTCATTTTCATTGTATTCATAAATTCAGAACCGACAAATTGACGCCACAATATTGGATAGTGCTCTCAATAAATAATGATTGAAAATCGTTCTCTATAAACCGTTCGTTAGAATGAAAATTATCTAAAATCTGCATTGCACCTGAAAGGGTGTTTCTACATCTTTTTATTGATTAACATTTAGTTATAGTAGCCTAAGTTTAAAACCAAAAGGGCCTTTGAATAAAAACCTTTATCACTTGTTTGTTCAAACCAACTCTTTTTTTATGATCAATTCGTCTTCTTCATCAAAATAACTTGTTTTCTTTATGTTAGTGAAATCTCTTCCAAACACATTCCGATTAGTGTTATCGTTATCAAGATGTATATCGATCAGCTACATGTGTCTGTAAATGCAGTCTGTATTCTAGTTCAGGAACAACAAAGGTCATGAAAATTTAATTTTTTGAAATCATGTATTTTCCCTATGGTTTTCACTTTCAAATTTATTTTTACAGCAGGGAAATTTCAATAAAAAAAAATTAATGAAATGAAAGCAAAATATTTTATATAATTTTAACAATTTTTAAAAAAAATATTTCCATCACATAAAGTATATCGATTTTAAGATAATACTTCAACAGGTAATATTGTTAAAAGTAAAGCTTTTGTAATTATGTATTTTTTTATACGATCTTAGAACTCTAATTTATTTATGTCATAGATTAAAAAGCCGAGGAGGAATGTTAAAAATCAGCAATGGAATGCTGTAATAAACCTATAGGGCTGATCAAACGTAAACTACACTGTTAAGACCAATTCTGGAGAGAATTTGAAATGCGTGCAGGCCAGATGTATCGGTATCAAAATATTCCTTCAGGACCAATGTTTTGGCCTGAAAATCAATATAAGTTCAAGCCATCGATTACAGAATCAATATTTCATAGTGGATAAATAATATGACAAACGTGAATTGACATCTAAATATCAGACCCTAGAAAACAGCCTACTACTAAGAAACATTTATGAAACCATTTCACTTGAAATCGTTTCCTTAGTGGACATTTAAATTATAATTGTTTCTTTGATTGAAGTACACGCGTCAATGATTAACGATTTTCCTCTAGTCATTTTGTAGATATTTATTTTTAATCCATTATCATTTTGATGTGCATACGATTTGATCCCATTTTGTTTTCGCCGAGAAGCAAGGTTTAAGAAGAACCCAAAGAGAGTAAAATCCCACTAAATCCTAGTAGATTTCAAATGGAAAGTAATTACACATAAATCGAACTGGTAAGAATATCCAATTTGTGTAAACAAAGCCATTGCTAAATATTTATTAAATAATTTTATAGAAAATATTAATTGTGTTGGATCTAATTAACCTCAAAAATGATTTTTTAAATCATTCGATCCTTCAATATGCAATATGTATATATATCTGTAAGATAAATATTGTTTTAAATTGTGAAAGCAAATTCAGGAGACATTTTGAATGTTGTTATACAATGTTGTTAGACTTCATAGTTTCTATTAGAGGTGATCTGTATCAATACTAAATATATCAGAGGAATTTTTGTCAATGATTGAATAACAGAAGTTAACTTTTATTACTCCTTTACCCCTTCAACTCATGATATCCTAACTCTTACCTATGAACGCATTTTTTTTTTTACCTGGAATGTCCAGCTAGAGCAAAACACGCCATGGTTATTACAATTATACGTGATTTTAATTCAGAAATTTATTTTTATTAGAGTATAAAGGATGAAGTATGTTAAAGGCAGAATCGGACCCTTTATTTGACATAAAATCAAAATACAATTAACGTGATAGTTTGCAATTCAGAATTTTAAATGATGCTTGTTTTAAAACCAGCATTGATTTTGATTCAAAGCGTCCACTGGGACCAAAGAAGGTTGACAAAGTAACAACTGACCGAATTTTTCCAAATTTGAGATACTTCTGGAAACAAAGAGCACAACCTTGCCTATTTGAACTTTTTTTATGCAAGATGCATGAAGTATATAAATTTAAATATATATTTAGTAGATAGGCAAACCTGTGATTCGTGCTTTTTGAAACAAAATGTGTTTTAAAATTGTTGAAAATTTGAATATAAATGAGAAAATTTGGAAATTGACAAAATTGGGACCTTCTTGTGACCTCTGCGTATCCTTTCACTTAAAACTAATACTCAATTTATAACTATAATAACAAAGGGCTTTTGATTGTGAACTGATGCATTATAAAAAAACATCCCAAACCAGGGACAAGAAACGGGTTTTAGTCTATCTTATTCTTTGCGCATGCTTTTCTCAAAATGCATAACTATAAGTAATGTGTTTTGCGTCCAGTTCAGGTAAAGTCGTACATGATTGAAGAATTGTGGTCGTTAGCCACAGATGGCGCTTGAAATAATGCTATTTTTCCTTCCAGAAGGAGAAAGATGGGTTGTGCTGCATCCTCCGAACCCAGAAAGACCGGCCCAGAGTATGGTCAGTACAGCATGCTGGGAAATTACCATCAGAAGCAGGAGGAAACCAAGCCACAGCAGCAGACAAATGGAGGTCCACCCCCAGCTCCTGAAGACGAGCGTCTGTACCACACAGATACAGAAGATGAGGTGAGTATGTAACAATACTGCTAGCAGGTCTCAGGATAGAGATGGTGAAAATATTTTTACTTCCATAAAGATCATCACTATTTTTTTAGTGGTCCCAGGAAAATTAAAAAAATGGTTTCCAACTTTTCAAAATAGTTTAAAAGCAAAAATTGACCTTCCTGGATGTTTAGAAATTGAGAACACATTTCAATCAAAATATACAATATATTTGGTTTTCGCCAATACACTAGAATATCAACCAAGTGATCGACTGAGAATGAATTTGGTCAAGTTTGGTTCATTTTAATTTTTTTATACAACAGGACGAAAATCGTCTGACACCCCCACCACCGATAGCTGATCCGAATAAACCGAAAGAGGAAGAACAAGTTCAAAAGAAAGAGGAGCAAACCCCTCCTCCTCCTCCCGTTCTACTTCAAAAGAAGGAAGAAGAAGTTCCTCCACCACCTGTAGAGGAAAAAGAAGAGGAAACTCCGCCACCGGCACCACCGGTAGAGGAGAAGGAAGAGGAAACTCCGCCACCGGAACCACCGGTAGAAGAGAAGGAAGAGGAAATTCCGCCACCGGCACCACCGGTAGAAGAGAAGGAAGAGGAAACTCCGCCACCGGCACCACTGGTTTCGGAATCTTCATCAGTAGAGCCTCAGCCTAGTGATGACATTAATGCTGGTCCTGGTATTGAAGGGGTGGTAGCAGCTAAGGCAGTGGCCAGTGAAATGAAAGAGGATATGCAAAGGCGTTTAGGGGTAGATGTGATGGTTGCCAAAGAAGAACTAGAAATGGAGAGATACACCAGTCCAGGTATGCAAATCATTGTTACATTTTGTGTCAACAGCTTTCATGTTTGTGGATTAAGGTTTCAGCTGGGTTAATTTTACGTTGAAAAAATCGGGCAGCCAATTCATAATTTGTTTAAATAAGTAGTTTCCTTTATTCAGAGAGAAGTGTTTAAAAAAAATTGTAGTATTATGTACATTGAAAATTTCAATGTAACATTTGAGGCTTTTCTTTCAATTTCTGAAAGAAATGTCTCAAATACTAAATAAAAATGCACTAGGAGATCATGATGAACATGTGAATTGAGAAACGTTTTGATTGTTACAACAGTGCCTTAACACTACATGAAGCAATGCATAAATCCTACCAGGGAAGAATTTTATTAATTTCTAAGAAATCTTTTAGTCACTTGATGACAAATTTTGTGAATCGTTTAAGATGAAAAGCAGCTAAACATCATGTTGTTAATTTTCATTGACAATATCTTTTTGTAAAGGGAAAAATGGTAAGTCACCGGTGCTAGTTAAAATACTCCGTCTGTAACTATATCATCTGTCTTGTATATTTTGTTGTAACTGCATGGTTACCTGATATACGTGGTCTCTTTTTCTGGTCTTTGTCTTTAACATATAATCTCTCTGATTACTTGAATTACTATTCATAAATCTTTGCATGGGTATCAAATACTATAACATAAATTCATGTTTGTTGAACAGACAATTTGGACTGTGTATATTGTAAGTGTGAACCTGATAGATCTGTAGCAGACATATATTAGGGATATTGCAAGATCTAAACATGACATTAAATATGTCTTATGTTTTTAACATATGCTAGTAAATTGTTTGCTAGCATTGATATATAAAAGCTTCATTTGCAGAATATTAGTAGATATGAGAACGTAGCATGAAAAGAAAAAATAAATTAGTTACCGTCATATGCACGATGGATAATTTTTAACAAAAGTTGTAACACGACGGAAGAAGAATTCGAAATATGGATATTTTGGTATATAAAACTAGTGTATTGTACCATTGTCAATTTCTTCAATAAAATAATGTTTAAACTAAAACATTAATTTGCTATCGAAATAATTAAATTGTAAATGTAAAACATCTTCCTCACAGTAAAGGTTCAAACCAAACCAAAGGAATAGTCCGTCAAAAATAACGGATACTACTGAACGGAACAAAAAAGCGTTCTTTACGAGAAGGCTATTTATACATGTGTTGAACTCACGAAGTTGATATGATACAATGTACACAGTCATAAACATAATGAGGCAGAAGAATACTAATAGACAGCATACTAATGCACATTGGTGAAATGTTTTGTAAACGAAAGATAGAAAAGTTTATTGATCATTGATGTCTAGAAACGACACTTGTAAGGTTTGGTAGCTCAATCTTATTTAATATACTTAAATATAAATACAAGCCTTTCTCGGTATAATCCTCCTATTCTACCAGGTATTGGTCTTTTGTGAATTTTTTTCATATGGTGGAACTCATTGGTACAAACACAGTTTTTAAAATTACGTTATTTCATTAACATGGCCCATCTCTAGGCATTTCAATCATTCACCACTTCTCAATTATTCATTTTTAAAATTAGTGAGTACTGTAGATAATAATTCTTAAGTAACATGGACTGGTAGAACAAACCGATGTTAAACTTAAGCATCCTTCTGAACGTTTCGTTTCTTTCTTCATACAATTGTTAAGAATTTTATTTAGTGTTATTAAGATTTAAAAATATTCTCTCAGTATAATTGCAAATAACATATTTTGAATACCTTTTAGCTTTTAATCAGTAACATTTTTCTCTTTTTATTATAGAAGATAATGGTTAGTGCATGAACTCTAGCCAATTTTTCCACACATCTTGTTAATGAAAACATTTTTTCAACGTATGACAACGTAATTAGAGTCATTTCAAATTTATTTTAATGCATTCATTTTAAATTATATCTAATGACATATGCTTACTTTTAGAACCTCCAAAATTTGGGGAAGGCTACGTTCAAAATGATATCGGTCAAAATGAAATGCATCTGGATTTTCGTAAACACCCTGAGGATTTCGACTATGAAACTCGCCCTGAGGTTGCTCCTGGGCAGCTATACGTGGACCACGACTTCCCTCTCAACGTAGCCATGGGTAGTGAACATGGCAGGAAACCATTGGAATGGAAACGCCCACCGGTAAGTGTGGAAACGACCACATCACGTGGACCTGTCCGTCACGTGAGCGAGTACTTCTTGTGATGCTTTCGAAATCACAATTTATTACATGCATTCCTTTGCATTTCGATAAGCTTAAGCAATGTGATGTTTTCAAGACTTTTCTAGTATTAAATGTTTAGCCTGTTATCTCCCCCTCCCCCCCCCCCCCCCCCAAATGGAGTTGAACATGTTTTTCAATATAAATCAGAAAAAGATATATATATATATATTAGGGATGGCAATTTGTAACCGGTTAATCGATTAATCGGTCGGAATGATGGTAATCGGTTAGAAAATCCGTAATCGGTTAATCGGAAAAAAATAAAATATATTCAAATTTGAACGCAATTTTCTTAAAATTCATTTTTAGAAAGGAAACTTCAACACATAAGAGTTGATCATTTACGGTTTTTACACACCTAATAATAAAGCTTGTTAGGAGGTAATTATGGCTTTCTGGATGGAGATCGCGGCTAATTGGTCAGTTTGTGGTGAGTTAATTACTGATTTTAAAAACATCAAATCGTTTAACCAGACGGTGTGTTCCCCGAACGGCTACTCGCAAAAAACAACAAGTAATTATCACACTCAATTAAGAGGCCCTCTAAGGGGTACTGGTAGATTTACCTACATTTACCTGGATAACCAATAATTGATAAATCAAATAAGAATATGACATTTCATATTTTTTTTTCATTAAATAATATTTTTAAAAACACCAATATTTAATAAATAAATTTAAACGAACAAATTTCAAAATATTATTCAAACATTTTTTATACATTGCTTTGTATTATTGCACTTTTAATATTATTGTACCTTTATTGATATTTTTTTCAAACTGTTAAATACTATTGATGGGGAATTTTTTGAACTCGAATTGGGGGTCCAACTTTTTCTCAACCTTTTTTTTTAAATACATTACCTAATCTCCATGACTTAACTGGCACAAGAAAAAAGTGTGTGGGGGTAGGGCAGCCTTTCAGTAAACATTTTCAATATTAATTTTGTTTATGTTTTTAAAAAGTGGGGGGACATCCCCCCCCCCCCCCCCTTGAAAATTTGTGCCTGGAAGTTATTACCACTTTTCTGTGGTGTCATATGTTTTTGCCAAAATTGTTATTAATTAATTATTAATTTAATTTTTTACCCAATAGAGATGCATCTTTTGGAAGAATGGTTTTCAATAGGCGTAAGATAAAAATGTTTAGAAAAATAATTTTAAAAATGAATACTTTCTTTATTTCATCAACAATTCAATCTTTAAAAAATGTTGCTCAGGGCAAGAACTCCTTCTCATAGCTTCATTCAGGCATTTTATTTTTTGTATTTCTAATGTAAAATGGTTCCTTGATATTTACAGTTCAAACATATTTACAAAGTAGCAATTATTTTGGACCTTTAGCATCGAAATATATTTTGGAACTTTCAGTATCAGAATTATCCATTTGAACCAGTTTTAATATAATTTTTTATAATGTTTACTAAAAATGTACAATTTTTCATGCTGAACATACACTTCTGTTTTTTTATGTCCTACGCCTTGGAAAAAATATGCCATTTTATATATCTTTTGTGGTCATAGATTAATTTAAACTACATTCAGTGAAAATAAATGCAGTTTTTCTACTTTAAAACCCATAAATTGTACGGGTAGAAATACCTTAACTGTATACCCTTAGATAGAAATAGAAATTATTTAACAGCCAAAAAAAATAAATAAATAAATAGATAAATAAACTAATTAATTAAAAATTAAAAAAAAAAACATTTTACAGGATATATTGAACTAAAAATGACTTTATAGATTGTTCTGTTTATATGCATTGAAATTCGGGTAATTTATTCATACAGGTAAGTCTACCTGTACCCTTTAAAGGGTCCCTTAATTGGGTGTGGTAATTAGATGTTGATTTTGGCGAGTAGCCGTTCGGGGAATAAGCCAACCAGACTATCCTGTAATCCTTTAATGATATTAAATAAAACAACGTAGAGCTAATTAGTTTGCCTTTCTTTTGCCGTTATCTTTTAAATTATGGTATTGGAAAAAGATTGGACAGTGAAAGTTCAGGCATAGTTGTGATTATGGTGTCAATGCAGATTGAACTTGTGTGTGCACTGGAAAATTATCTGCGTCTGTTTTCTCAGGCAAAATTCATGTTTTTCTTATAATTTTTCTTGTCTATTGAAATTAAATAAAATATAGGTACATATTAAGTTTCCTGATCGAGATAATAAACAGAATATTCCTAACTTCTAGCGTCTTTATATCAGTCTTCTTGTGTATATGAAAGAGCTACTTCAAAAAAATAGAATGTCAAAAAATGTGTATAATATTACGATTAACCGATTAATCGGTCGGAACGTCTTGCGGTTAACCGATTAGCAATTCTGTAATCGATTGCCATCCCTAATATATATATATATATATATATATATATATATATATATATATATATATATATATATATATATATATATACATGTATATATATATATATATATATATATATATATATATATATATATATATATATATAGAATAATAGAATAGAATAGAATAGGATTTATTACCAAATCAGGGCCCAATGGGCATAAACATATAACATGTATAATTACAGATAAGATAACAGACAGAATACAACATATAATGAAGAGCAATTCTTCCCATTTAGTACATTGGTGGTGTTTTGAGTTTCACATGTAGACATAGGTTGTCTTTATTTAAGATATATCTGTACTCTTAATTGATATATATATATATATATATATATATATATATATATATATATATATATATATATATATATATATATATATATATATATATATATATAAAGCACAAAAAACCAACAACACTGTATATCCTAAGATATATATATATATATATATATATATATATATATATATATATATATATATATATATATATATATATATATATATATATATATATATATATATATATATATATAATGTACTTGCCTAAAAAGATTAGGTATTAAAGATACGTAATATTATGCATTATATTGAAAAGGCTATTTTCCTTTAGTGTAGAGCTGCTTTTAATTCATGAATAAGTATATAACATATTAATATAAATGTTACGCTGAATTTAATCAGAGAATAAAATGAAAAGTTTTTTTTTACTTTCAGGAATTTGCTAGTGACCCCTGCCTATTCTCGGACGGAACCAGTCGTTATGACATTGGACAGGGATCTATTGGGACATGCTGGTTCTTGTCCTCCGTGTCTAATGTCGCCGATAAACCACAGCTCCTCAGAAGAGTATGTTACATGTCCTACATAAAATAAATGTTTATCATAATATCGATGGAATAAAAAATATATACTGCAAAATTACTTATTTTCATGGGGTCGAATTTTTGTAGTTTGTGGAAAAATTGCTGATTCAAAAGGATTTAATTTCATGGTTGGTAGACAGACAAAATGCTGTACTTTTGAAATTTCAACTCTAGCTTCGTGGAGTATATGAATTTTTGGTCTCTCTATACCTCGAAAACAACGAAAATTAAACTTTCACGAAACTTATGATTTTACAGTATATTTTATTAAGTATTTTAATGCACTTGTTTCTCAGCTTATAAAGTCTGAAGTACAGGCACGATGTATCTTGAGATGCTTACTACCCGGTACATTTTGCTTTGTTTGCTTTATTTGATCTACATTATTCACGAAAGTTGCTAAATTCAAATGTTTTGAGCATTTCTTTCCCAGACTGCAAGAATTAGTAGCTTTGCCTCGACCAAACTTGCATGGATTGTATTTTGTTGGTTCTATTGTAGATGCACTACATCAACCTGTATTCAACAACTGTCTTGAACTTACCATAATTCCTTTCTCCAACAATAGTTTTGACTATGTCAGTAGATTAGTATCTTTGTGCAGTACTTTGGTGTTTAAAAAGATGATAATTAAGTCCCGTTTCTTTCACTTCATTTGATTTCATTTTTCAGATTATTCCAAGAGATTCGTACCCTGTTGGAACCCCACAATATGACGGAATCTTCCACTGTCGGTTTTGGAGGTTTGGTTACTGGGACGACGTCTTCATTGACGACTACCTGCCAATCATTTACGGCAATCAAATTTACTCCGCCCACTCCAACACAGACCCAAGCGAAATGTGGGTCGCTCTACTAGAGAAAGCCTTTTCAAGGTAACTTTTTAAATAAAAAAAAAATATGATTTAATTTCTGGCTTTGATAAAACTTCAAGTCGATTTAAAAGTGATTAAATATTCACTATATTGAAATATTGAGGTGTATTTTAAGTACGTGTTAAAATAAATTGATTTAAACAATAGGTATGTAATTTTGAAATAAAATAATTTTAGAAACCCCATATTGTAATTTGATACAGATAAAGTCAGAGTATTAAAAAAATCATTAATAGTACAGTTCACAAATGTTTGAGACAAACTTCGCAGAGATGAGCTTTTGTAAAGTTGGTATGTTATAGCATTAGTTTCCCAGGTTGAAGTTTTTAAGATCATTTCTCAGGTTATTTAGTCCTCATTTGCAGGCATAACCCACCTAGAGATGCTTACGACAATCATGCTTCGGGTGATTCATTTGATCTCAATTTTTTGCCAGTTGATGTATTAACTTTTTTCAGGGCAGAGTTATTCTCAAGTAATTGTAGCCTCACCTCGACCAAAGTTACATGAATAATATTTCTAAAGAGATAGGCTAAAACTGTTTTGTTTCCCATATTGCTTGATTCCTATGTTTATTTAACAGAACACTGTTGTGATGTACTAAACGTTTACATTTTGTTTCATATTCCTATGGTATGGTTGCCTAGGACAGCGTTCGTTGAGGTTAGCTTTGTAATCTTTGCCCGTCTTTTGGTAGGATGTATGGAAGTTACACAGACGTGTCAGGGGGTATGGCAGCTGATTCCTATATGGCTCTTACCGGAGGAGTTCCTGAGGACATCAATCTCAAGAAAATGACAATGGAGCCTGAACAACTTCACTCACGTGTCAGACACGCCCTCTCCTCAGGAGCCGCCGTCACGTGCAGTGTTCCGGTTAGTGCATACAAACAAAAACGTTGCAGACTGTAAAACAAAATATTAGTCAAAAAATTTTACAAGAGCTGTACCCACTAGCAGAATTAGACTATGTTAAAGTAGCAGAATAATTAATTCATTTTAGCACATTTTAGGTTTCCATTTAAGTGTTTCTGGAGGGGATAGTACACGTATATATTGTATAAATAAATTACAATTTAAAGAAATGTATTAAAAATCTAATTTTGAATTTATATAAGTTCTGATAAAAAAATACGTAAAGAACATATATAAAATAACAAGCAACCATTCAGCAGCATAACAAACAATCATACAACAACTAACAAGCAACCATTTAGCAACAGAAATCATTTAGTAATTAACAAGTAACCCTTCAGCAAATTAATAAGCAATCATTCAGCAACTTACAAGCAACGATTCACATAACTAGCAAGACTCACAAACATGAGTGACTTTTAAAAATTTTAAAAATGGTACCAATTGTATTTTACAGTCAGAATTTGACGGCCATCACGGTTTGGTTGGAGGTCACGAGTACTCATTGACTGGGGCTGTCATGGTATGTACCTTAAAATTCAAAACCTGGCTTACGACAATTGATTAACACATAATTCACTTTGAGGATTGTTTGAAGTGTGAAGTTGCTATTGTTTTATAATTGATCATGGAAAAGGTGATATTTTATGAGCACAATACGCCAAACTTAAAAATTCAATAGTTTTATTATAGTATTAGTTATTTTTCGGTAACATTAAATATATCTCATTCTCTTTCATGGTCACAAAGGTAAATTTTAAATTTAAGAAATTCTTCAGAATCACTTTTGTTTCTCAGGCAAACGGAATTCGACTTTTCCGAGTCCGGAACCCCTGGGGAAACACAGAGTGGACTGGACCATACAGTGATGGGTAAATTTTTCATATACATATGAATTTGTTAAAATACTTTTAAAACACACTAGTTAGGCATATCTTAAATGTTCAATTTATATTAGTTAAGCATTATTAAACACACCCTTGGTCATACATTTTTTATATATTGTATGTATAGATTACTTTGATTTATGATGTGATTTTGAATCTCCCTCACCCGTATGCAGTCAAGTAAAATATATACAGTAAAAACGTTAACCATTACAAGGAAGTCACTGATTCCTCGAATTTTGCTTCAGTATAACTGAGATTCCTTATAACCGTATATGAACCATAGTGAGAAGTATTCTAGGGGATTTGTAAAAAGTTCTTTATAACCAAGATTTCCTTATAAGCGAGTTCTTTGTATCCGAGTTTTTATTGTATTATAAGCATAAAACTCCCCTCTTCACCGTATACAGTGAAAGGATCAGTTGGTACAATGTTTATTATTATACTTCTGTTAAAATGTTTCCTATATAAAGTTAAGAAGGTAAAATAACTATCTTTATAGTCTCAAAATCTCCACACATAGCAAAGCTATACCCCGGGGTATAGTTTTTGCTATCCATCCCTCGGAAAATTTTCATGCAATTTTTGCCGCCAGGTTTGATTTCCTGTAAACAATCTATAGACTTATGATGTCATCCTGACTTCAATAGCATTGTGACGTCATCAGGATTTCAGCTCATTCTAGCAGTGTTATCTTATTCCAAATACTTGTTCAAAACTTTTATAATTTTTTTTTTCATGTTTTTACTATGGAACTGTAGTATCAGGTAAATCCAACCCTCAGAAATTATGATACACATCAGTATAATAAAACGCTTATCCACTGGCTGTGAGTGGGATAGCTCTTTCATCAAACCCTTGACAGGAACTATTCCCCTCGGGCAAGCCCTCGGGGAATAGTTCTTGTCGCGGGTTTGATAAAAGAGCTATCCCACTCACAGCCAGTGGATAAGTGTATAATATCACCTGAAGAATGTGACCGGTCGGCAGGGGATGCTCACTCCTCCATGGCACCTGATCCCACCTCTAATGGTCTGGAGATCCGTGTTTGCTCCCGATTTGTATTGTTTTAATGGACTTTGAGTTTAAATACTGTTCATTATTCACATATTTCACTGTAACTTTACAGGAGTCGTGAGTGGCAAAGTCTTCCTAAGGATATTATTGATGCCCCCAACAAAGATGACGGGGAGTTCTATATTTCTCTGGACCACTTTCTTAATTTCTTTAGTACACTGACTATTTGCAATATCACCCCCGACTTTGACAGCGACGGGTCATCAGACTCTCTCAGTAAGTCTTACAGAATACTCAACTTGATTATAAAGAAACGAAAAACTAATTATAATTATAATTAAGTTTACCATTATTATTTATCATTAGAGTTGAAATAAACTTTAAGAGAGAGACATTCAAAAAAATTCAATAATTTATTCAGTGATTTTAGCATAGATATTCCCATATACATATATCTATAATTGCATTTTTTGTTTAAATAAAAAGAATCATGACTGAATTTCATATGGATGTGGTTACAGAATATTGTACATCTCTTTATGGGAAATGGGAGGGCGAAGAGGCTGCAGGATTCAGAGAGAAAATCAAGAATCCAAAGTTTCAGTTTACAGTCGATGAATCAAGTAAGATTTACAGGCAGGATCTACTTATTGTAGTTTGCCAACAGAATAAAATAGGGGAAAAAAACTATAAATTTGTGTTTGATATCAAAATCAAATATCATTGATCCTGGCTCAATTAAGATACTAGTTACTTCATGAAAATAAGGTTTAAACAGTGTCATTTAGTCTAGTTAATTATGATGGTAAGTATTTCCAAAAGAATAATTTTGTACACAATTAAGAAAAAAAATTAAAAACATCATTTTCTAAAAAGGATATTCTATTAAACTTGTCAGAGTTAGATTTTATGGTACAAGAAATTTGCTTCATATGGTTTCACATGATTGATTTGTAACATCAAAAAAGAAATTTTGCAATGCGTAATTGTGTAAAGATGGTCAGGTATCATTGATTATTGAACAGGTATATAAATCACTGAGTCCCTTAGAATTATTTTCTGATATCTGATTTTCAATATTCTTGCCAAAGTCTTGCCTAAACAACAGTTACATTGCAGTTCTATAAAATTCATTTAGTATCTGTCGAGCTAACATCGAAACAATCCCATTTATCATAGGTATTGATGAAAATGGAAACGTCCCCTTTGTTGTGCAAATCATACAACGTACCAAACAGAGAAAGGCCAAGAAAGTTAACATTCGTGCTGACCTCTATAGGGTAAGACAAGAAGTGTTCTCAGCCAAGTTTGGAATCATATTATTCATAATATTCTTTCATCGATGTATGGAAACGATATTTACACGTATATCATTTGTACGCACATTCATATGTTGTGAGGTATCGAAGTCCAATCCTTTTTTGCTTGTTCTGACTACTGAACAATCTCAAGTAGTCAGAAATATCTGAAATTAGCGAAAAAACATTGGTTTGATAAATCAACATATTAAATATTTATTCCATCATACTGGCTTGAAAACTTTGTAAGCACTGTTTTTAAATTTGTATTTTAGAATGATTATACATGTAGGTAAATTGGTATGAATTTCTGAAATTGTAATAAGTTAAATTTTATGAAATTTCCTTAAAAAAGAATCAGATTAGAAATTCGAAGTATAATATATTTTATGGTTTTAGCGATTTGTTGTGCCCTTCAAGATGCACTAACTTTAAGGAATTGCGTATAGGGACTCAGTCTTACACATAAACAGGAAGTTGTAGATAAAAATATATTTATTCTTTTAAATGTTCTTAACACTGTCACCTATTTTGTTTACAGTTTAGGTGCTGAGAACATTAACCTTAAGTTTCTGGCTAAAAGTAACCAGATTTATGATTTTGGATTAAAAAAAAATATTTTGTAGCATCCCCTGAAAAGGTCTTTATCCAACTACAGTAGGATCTAGGCACTTTTTTCTTACTTTTTCTTCACATTTCAATGAAAAGAGTAAAGTGAAATACGGAGATAACGAACAGTATTCAAGCTTAAAGTTCATTTAAACATTACAAATCGGGAGCAGAGCAAACACGGACCTCTAGAAAACTCAGAGGTGGATCAGGTGCCATGGAGGAATGAGCATCCCCTGCCGACCGATCACACCAAACGTGTGCTCCTTGTCATGATCGACAAAAACGGAAAAAATCCGTAGACAATTCAGTGTGCAAATAATGACCTAACAATTAGTATGAAAAACGTCAGTAGGCATATAGCGAACAATGTTCTATCTAAAGCTTATTTAGAAAATTGCCTATTCAACATATATCTATATTTTATTTATTTGTTTTTTTTTATTTATTTATTTATTATTCCAAATCGGGGCCCTTTTGAGCATATTACATACATGATTATTAAACAAAACATATAAATATAATAATTATTCACAAAATGTGATAGTAGTAATATTCAGCATTTTCTTAATACATATACTTAGTCAATTTACTCTTGGTTCATAAGTTGATAGAATTGCTAACATGTACAATTTGAAATACACATTGTAAAGTGTAAACAAGTACCACCGTGTACCATAATGCAAAAAAGCCAGAGATATACATATACAAAAATATAAACTGAATAGATATATTCCACTAAATTGCAAAAGATACCACGGGACAGTGCATTGGTACTTTATAAGTCACCATGTTTGCATATCTTATGACCAAACTAACATGTATTGAGTGTTAAAAGTATACAATTTTTAAATTCTATATACATGTAGAAGACACATTATATTTCTCCCTTGATCAATTCACAAAGGGATTTAAGAACATCATGATTTTCACAATTCAATATCCATATTAATTTGTTCATGTTATCAAGAAGTAAAATTTGTTTACAATGTTGTTTTATACTTTCATACATATTTTGCCTAAGTAAATTATATTTTGGGCATTCAAAGAGTAAATGAATTTCATCTCCAACTTGGTGAGAAGAACAATTTGTACAAATTCTTAGTTGTCTGGGAATCCCTAAGTAACGACCTCGTTCTATTGGTAAATTATGTGCTGATGTCCGCAACCTTGCAAGTACTTTGCGTTGTTCAGGTGATAACAGTGCTAGGTAATATTTTCTTTATATATTTTCTTTATACGATAAGCAGCACTCATTTCTAACCTCCCAATTAATATTTACATTTCAACTATTTTTCTTGTGATAATTCTTCAAAAGTTAAGTGTGTTAATTTCTCGATATTTACGACTGATTGAAAAAAATTTTTTTAATTGAAAGGTCAAGTGACAAACATGCATGTCAGTTTCCCGGGCTGTCGTTGTGCCTGACGTCAGTGGGCGGGGATTATGGACATGAACACGAAATGCTTCTTGTATTTCAATTCTACAGATGTATTAGACCGCGTTTTTTTCTTCCATGCAAATTTTTGTTTCACATATAAGTGTAAATAAATAGAAGAGATCACAGTTTAGTTGTTGGGTATGCCTGGGACATTGAACACAGTTGGAAACGTGGGATAAGTTGTGCATAACGAGCATCCTTTATTCAAATTATTCCACGCTTCAGACCGTCGTTAATTTCCTGGCATACCCAACAAATTACACGGTGATTCCTTAAAGGTGCTTAGACACAGATTTTAAGTTAATATTTACTCAAATTTTCTGTATAATTTCATGACTTATATGTTGCTATAGCATTTCATACGAATATTTGAAAAAAATCTTATTTTATCTGGAAGATATTGAAACTTCGAATTTCTGGACGCCTTTGATAGACACATCCTTTGCACTTTCACAAATTTTAACTTTATCCTTATTACTTTAGAAAAGTAGCAATTTTGTTGTTTATCAATGAAAAATATTAAAACTATAATGCAGAAATTTCATAGTAGAAATGTAGAAAGCAAAATCCTCTCACCAGTATTGTCAGTCCGTGCTCAGTGGTGTGTGCAGAGTTTAACAATTGAACACACCCGGTGAATCGAAAACATTAACAACAACAGAGCTCGTGCCCTGTTTACAAAAACAATTTACGTTTCACGGGTCTATTCAATTTGCTAAACTCTGTACACAACTACACAACACTGAGCACGGGCTGACAATATTTAAGTGAGTGGGTTTTGCTTTTGCACATGTTTACTCTGAATTTTCTGGATTATAGATGTAATATTATTCATGAATACACAACAAAATTGCTACTTTTCTTAAGTATTAAGAATAAACTTAAAAATTGTGAAAGTGCAAGGATGTGTTAATCAAACGCCTTCCGAAATTCAAAGTTTCAATAATTTCCAGATTAAATAAGTTTATAATTTTATTTTCGTGTGAAATGCTATAGCAACATATAAGTTGTGATATTATACAGAAAACTTGAGAAAATATAAACTTCAGATCTGTGTCTATGCACCTTTAAAAATATAATCTCAGTATACCTTTGTAATTTATAAAATGCTATCTTAAGGTTTTGGAGAGTGAATCTAATGACCTCCTGGTTCTACAAGAAGAGGGAATCCCAAGCAAAAATAACAACTACAGAGGAGATTCACAAACTTCCTTCCGGTTCTGCCTGCATCCTGGGAAATACGTGTGTATACCCTCCACCATGGAAGAGGGACAAGAGAAAGAATTCATGCTGCGACTTTACAGTGCTGGTCCACTGGGAGATATCAAGTATCCGCTTAAATATTCGTCTACATTTTCAAAACCTTAGACACTCTTTCGATTTTTTGCATGTTTTATTTTTAATTTGTTAGTTTTATTTTCAATTTGTTTTAAGTTCCGTGTGAAATAAACGCACACACAATATTTATTATCAAATACATTAGATTAACTCTGGTTAAGTTAATCCGGCTTCCTCTATTATTTTTCTTTTTTCTGTTTTTCATATCAAAACTTTGCCATTTTTGAAATTTGCAGAATTTTGGCCATCATAAGTAAATTTTGAGCTTTAAAGTGAACTTTCTTTCAGGAAAATTGATTCTAACGAGAAGACAGTAATGAACTGCAGCGGAGAAGGGGCAGAGAAATACAGTACGTTCTAAGTTGTGTATTGAGGAATTGAACTGGTTTCTCATCATACAGGTTTTCAAAATGTTTCTTTCTCTTTAAGGTCATATTAAATGTGTTACGGGTCAGTGGACAGCTGGGTCAAATGCCGGAGGACAGGTGTCACACAGCAGTTTCCATATCAACCCACAGATTAAAATCGACATACCCAGTAAGAATTGTTTTTCTATATATCTTTGTATAGTTTCTTTCAATAGAATGTGTCAATGCAGTGGTTAATATAGACGTTTAAAGATATGAAAAATCTCATGTTGCATGATGAATATTTTATGTAAATATTGAAATATTGAAAAATCTACAAGTTCGGTTTTATATTGCCTGAAATAGATGTATGGACAGATTATTTTTAGTAAAATAAGCAAATCTTCTGCACTGATTCAAATTACAATGTTTAATTTCACATTAATTAGGTTCTCAAAAAGTGAAGATTCAGTTGTTATCCAGTTCATCAGATCCTGAGTATCCTATTGGGTTTAAACTATTTCAGGTAAAGCTTATATACTCATCAGAAACTTGACCATCAATATATTTTAGTCTTATTTCAAGAGTTGTTGAGAGATGTCCCTACAAACTGTAAACATGGAGAGGTTTTTTCTAGGTGAAATATTGTTTTGCGAATTTTGCTATGATTAAAATTTGTATAAAAGGTTAGATTTACATTCTGCATAAAACGGCCCTGTCTATAAAATAATTTCATGTAATAAACTGCCACAATATTATATATCCATTGATTGTCAAAATATTGTATATACCATCCTCGAGGAAAATTCAGGAAATGGTATAACAGTTCATGTCATGGCGTTATTAATACATAAACTACAGAGAAAATTACATCTATATACATGTAAATAGATATGTAGTCACCAAAGTACAAATCATATTTTTTAAAGCTCTGTTAACTAAAAATAATTTAACTTTGTTTGTATTCTAACCTCTGATTGGTTAATATCCAAAAAGGAACACAAATTATTTCTGTATAACCTGGTTTGGTATGGGGACACATCCCCCCCCCCCCCCGACAACCAGCTGAATCATCTGTATCCATACAATCCTCTCATTTCCAGTCCTCGGGATTCATAGAAAATTCCAGATTTAATGAATGTACCATAAAATAATTCGATCTTACCACATGTAAACAAACAACAAGGCTGCTAGGCCTATGTATCAGTTTTTACCTCCCCTCGCTTCCCATCACTTCCGGCACTTCCGTTACAACGGCCCTTCTATAAAATAATTTCAGGTAATAAACTGCCACAATATTATATATCCATTGATTGTCAAAATATTGTATATACCATCCTCGAGGAAAATTCAGGAAATGGTATAACAGTTCATGTCATGGCGTTATTAATACATAAACTACAGAGAAAATTACATCTATATACATGTAAATAGATATGTAGTCACCAAAGTACAAATCATATTTTTTAAAGCTCTGTTAACTAAAAATAATTTAACTTTGTTTGTATTCTAACCTCTGATTGGTTAATATCCAAAAAGGAACACAAATTATTTCTGTATAACCTGGTTTGGTATGGGGACACCCCCCCTGACAACCAGCTGAATCATCTGTATCCATACAATCCTCTCATTTCCAGTCCTCGGGATTCATAGAAAATTCCAGATTTAATGAATGTACCATAAAATAATTCGATCTTACCACGTGTAAACAAACAACAAGGCTGCTAGGCCTATGTATCAGTTTTTACCTCCCCTCGCTTCCCATCACTTCCGGCACTTCCGTTACTACGGTTGTATTATTGAGCGGCAAATTTGAACTAATAAAAAGCAACGAAATTTTACACCCATAGTTATTTGATGATTTTAAAATTAAATTATAAGGAATGACTCTAATTCTTGGCCAAATTATTAAACTGACCCAAACCAGGTTATACGCGAATAATTTGGCCAAGAATTAGAGTCATTCCTAAATTAAACAGTTTTAAATTTGCAGAATTTAAAAGTGACAAATAAGTCTCTCGTCAACTGTTCTATTTGTCACTACACGAACAATTTTGATAAGTCCAATGATAAATCAAAACCACATTCTGTAAATTCCTTTTCTTTCGCAAATGTAACCCAAGAGCAAATGCGTTTTTAGTTTTTACAGAAAAATCGCAAAATTTTACTTATTTAAAATACCGACGTTTACAATTGTACAAGTAAGGCTCTTGAACCATTTCTAAGTAACAGAAACAATTAATTTTGAAAAAATTAAATTTATTAATGAACTATTTTTTAAATCAACATTTGAAAATTATTGGTTCATGAAAAAATATGAAAACGATTCCCATCTATGGTTTGCTCATGACCTCCAAATATGAAGGAAATTATTATGGAGAGGAAAAAAACTAAATAAAACTTTTCAATACTTCTATCAAATCTCCTTTATTTTGGCAATAAGACCTCTCGACCTAAAGATAGTTCTTTGATATAGTAAAGTAAATGAAAAAACATTTAATCGTATTTTCACTACATCAGGTTGACGGAGATCCGGTTCCAGCGAGTTTGGATTGGCTGTACGAGCATTATGGGAATGCTACCAAGACCGTTGACAGGGATGACGGGCCGTTTGTGATGGGTACTTCCGCCCCCGCGGAATATTCCCTGAACGCTGGCTCCTACATCTGTTTGCTTCACATGGATCAACCTGACACCGAGAAAAGATTCGCTGTCGTCATCCGATCCAGCACTCCTCTGGATAATATCGAGTAAGTATAATCATAATGTTGATCATATTTTAGTAGGTAAACAAATGATAAATTATGAACAAATGCAATTTTAATCCTGTGAAAAAGAAAGAAAAATAAATTTCACCGTCTAAACCAATCTCAAATTTAAGTTTAAAAAAAATTCAGCTGTTGTAAAAAAAAGTCTTATCTAAATCTTTGAATAAACTTATTATTTGAATTTTTTTACATTAGGGGATTAAACTACTAGTATTGCAATAAATTGTATCACTAGAGCTGGAGAATAAATATATCTTAATCACACTTCTTGTAGAAAACACATGTAGGTAAAAATGACAGTGAAATGTTATCTCTATTGGATATATTGAATTATATTTACACTTCCAACTCTTTTTCTGTGATTACTCTTTGAAAGTTAGATGTGTTAAATCCTCGATAATTACAACTGAATGCAAATTTCGCCAAAGGATAGGTCAAGTGCCTAATATGCAAGTCAATTTTCCACCTCTACCAATGTTTCTGACGCAGTGGGCGGCGATTATATATGATAATTAACATGGAATGCCTTGTGTATTTCATGTCTAGTAGACAGCCGTTTTTATTTTTATATAAATGTAAATATAAGGAATCACTGTCTAGTTCATTGGGGAGACAGTTTGGAAACGTGGGTAAAAATATGCATAAATTATCCCAAGTTTACAACTGCCATTAATGCTCTGACATACCCAGCAAACTAGACAGTGATTCCTAACTAACACCTGTTTTGCATTGCTTTATGTAGAATGCTTATATTGCAATCGTCAAAACTTGTGCAATTTTCCTTTTCAGAACACATCAAATGGAGTAAGAAAGAACAAAACCAGAAATTCTTATGACCCAATGCAATCTGCTGAACATTTTGTAATATTGGTAACTTCTTGGACAACTAGAGTAATGCTAATTGTATTTTTGGAGACATTAGATAAATCATCAATCATCATCTTTCTTTATTGCATGTACCTGTTCATTTATAGTAAACTTTGCTCACGTGCTTAAATATTTACCTGTTATTGTTTGTAAAATTTTTGTACATGTATGAAAATTTGTCTGTAAATACTTTTATTTATTAATTTATTTTTGTAACCAAGAATTGTTATTAGCAAATGTAACTCACAAGAGAAAGAATTTCAATTATCTATATAGATATTCCAAGCATTTTTGATATTTTTTCTGTTTTAGTAGTTTTTATTTAGAACAATCTTTCCTTATGTTTCTGCGATGTTTTTTAGTATATACATTATTCAACTACTAATTCACTTATGGGGGCATCGAGTGTGTTTACTAACAAAACCACAAAATTCACCTTCAAGATATAAATTAAATGTTTACATGACCAGTTTAACCTTCACTATTAGATACGATTAAACCAAGATGCTAGATACGTGTAAACGGTCTTCAATTTGCCTGTGTCGCAACATTTTGTACATGTATTAAGAACGTATAATACAGGTTAAAACGCTGATGCATCGATTTTGATTTAAAGTACCTCGTGTAACTTTTTTCTGACATGTGATACCACGTACCTAACTCTTGACTGTGTGATTTTTTTTTTTTTTTTTTTGAAGTTTGATTTTTAGTTTTCATAGCCATTTCGAACAATGTTTTTAACGTTGTCGACTCATCGAAAGCAAATCTGTGATATTATTTTGCTTTGAAACATTATGTGAAGAACTAGTTTTTTATGTAGCTTTGGTTTAGTTAGCATCTTAAGAGATCCGTCCAGGGTTTTATTTATTTATTTATTTTTTTTAAGATTCGTTTTGTTGTTTTATATATTTTTCTTATATTTTACAAGGAAAAATACTTTATAATTTTATGAACGTATATTTTTATTTACTAAATTTTTATTTCACTATTATTTAGTTGTTTGATCTTTTGACAAATGAGAATTGTTATGTTTACACCGTCTTGTTAGTTGACTGTTAAACTGCTCATATTAGAAGATATGTAGTGTGACTCATCATAGAAAAGTAAGTTCTTCTGATATCTACTAATGAGTAAAATATGTAGTTCATTTTTTTTCTGTCACTAACATTTTAAACCTTAAAAATATTTTCTTAAATGTAAATAAAGTATCTTTCTGTTATGTATTGGCCAATGTTAATGATCTTATTCTTTATAATTCTCTATGTGTATGTGTTTTTCTTTGTCCCCTTTTTAACTGACCACCATGTTCATTTTTCTTAGCAAGACTTGTATAAAAAGTGTAACCAAAGGGAGTAGCAGTATTACTTTACAGTACAATATTATTACATAAAGATAATAAGTGGCTATTTTTTTTGTCTATTTATGAAGTACTTGTTGTTTCCGAAGAGGTGTTAATTCCATAAGGTTTATCATTGTATTTATATATGTATATTTTACTTGTTTTACCTGTTCAAGTTCTTTGCAGTTCATATATAAGTAAAATATATCGGAGTTCTGTTTTACTTTTCCAATTGTTTTCATTAAGCTTCCATTCACAATATATTACCCAAAAAGAAAAAAGTCTTAATTTCCAAAGCCAATGGGCGTTTAACAGTAAGAAATACACTGTATCATTAAAACGCACCAAAACGATGATGAAGGCTTGAAAGAAGTCTAAGAAAATTTTGATAACATACTAAAAATACAAGTATAAATAATGAAATGTGAAAAAACGAACAACAATCATGCTCGGAAGTCCAATTAACCAACACAAATTGTGAGCAGAGCAAACACAGACCTATGAAAAAAGAGTAGGAATAATTTGATTTAAAATGTATTTTATTCAAATGAATGAAATGGATTGAACAGCAGGCATAAATGCCTATGATCGGAGTTATGAGGTGCCATGGAGGAGTGAGCATCCCCTGCCGATCGGTGACACAGCTCGTATGCCACTTTTCATGATCGAGTAAACGGAAATATCCGTAAACAATTCAGTGTGAAAGTAATAGAGTATAAATTTGTATAAAAGAATCACTTAATATTCGACCTAACGATAGATTGTATTTGCAAACAAATTCATTGTATCGACCACAAAATTTGCAAAATGTTGACTTTAAACGAGCTTATTGATAAATTATCCTTGTATCATCACCACGTTTAAAAATTGTTCGTACGTAGAACAAGCATTTTAAAACAGTTTCATTATTTTTATGATTCTTTAACCTAAAATATCCTATTCATCTTACGAAAAAGATTGATTGAAATATAATTCCTTATATATGATATTCAACTATAATGCTAGATATTTCCTCTTTACTAGTTTAAACAGCACAAATTGCCATGGTAAAATTAAGAATTCTGAACGAATGAATCTGTTTTGCTCAATATCATAATGCAATGTCTTACTTTAATGGTAAATTGCTGTACCAAGAATGATATTACTTTTATTTGTCCATGATTATTTCCAGAGTCATCACCAAAATCTTTTTGATATGGACAACAAACACGAGCTTTATTTAATACGTATTTTTTTCTAATATAGTCAAGGACTTAAGTCAACACACTCTCCCTCCTTATTTCCTTTTAACCTTCTGTTGTTTTGTAAAGAAAGCAACCCTTTGTTAGAAAGTGTTACACTTAAAGTGTTAAGCAGGAAGTTCAGCAATTATTCTGAAATGTGACAATGAACAGTTATTTCCGTAAATAATAATTTTTTGTGCGCAATTTTTTATTTTTTTTTTCAAGTAACAAGCAAATGTATTATCATTTTTAAAGTTCTCAAAGAAAATTTTTTTTTAAATATTCAATTATGTCAACAAATACAATTTGTTTTGTATCTTAAAGAAATGCCGCCTTCCTATCGTGTAACTGTTCCCTTACTAAATCAAGAACTTTTGACTCTCATTATTTGTTCACTTAGAAATTTCAAGGAACTTTTGGAAAATGTGAAATCACAAAATTTTACCAAAATCAATAAAATGAAAACTTACGACTTTTCAACTCTGTATACAACCATTCCCCACGATAAATTAAAGTCCAGGCTTTTTGACATCATTGACAGCTGCTTTTTAAATAAAAATGGAACTCGTAAATTTACTTACCTTGTCATTGGTCATTTGCAAAATTATTTTGTTAAAAAAACATTCTGATTGTACATACAAGTACTCTGAAGTTGATATTAAAAAGATGCTTGAGTTTCTGATTGACAATATCTATGTAGTTTTTGGAGACCAGGTCTTCCAACAATCTATTGGAATTCCCATGGGTACCAGTTGCGTCCCGTTACTAGCAGACCTATTTTTGTATTCATATGGAGCAGCATTTATTCAAAATCTTATACATGAGAAAAAGAAATCTCTTGCTGCGGCCTTCAACTCGACATTTAGATATATCGACGACGTATTATCAATTAACAGTAGTTATTTTCATTCATATGTCAACACAATATATCCCAGTGAGCTGTCAATAAAAGATACCACAAACTTAAGCCTAACACATCTGTTTCATATTTGGATATTTTACTAGAAAAAGACGTTAATAGTAATCTAACAACCAAGCTTTATGATAAACGTGATGACTTTAACTTTTCAATCGTCAACTTCCCTTACTTATGCTGCAATATACTAATACCCTTATCACCTGCATATGGGGTGTATATCTCTCAGTTCATTCGATATGCAAGAGTATGCTCTACGTATGAACAATATCTAAATCGAGGTAAGTTATTGACAAACAAGTTGAAACAAGAAACAAGAATACCGGTATTAACAGTCTCGATTTAAGTAATCATTTCGTAAGTTATATGGTCGATATTTGTGTACCTTTTTATGCCCCCCGTATCGAAGATTCGGGGGTGTATAGTTTTTGCCCTGTCCGTCCCTCTGTCTGTCTGTTTATCTGTTTGTCCGCAAAAACTTTAACATTGCCCATAACTTTTGATTGGTTGGAGCTATGGATTTCATATTTTACATGTGTATTCCTTGTGACAAAACCTTTCTTTGGGTACCATCATATTTGACCTTTTGACCTTGGAGTTTGATTACTTTTCATAAACTTGAAACCTGGCCATATCTTTTGAACGATTGGTGATAGGGCTTTCATATTTCACATGTGTATTTCTTGTGAGAAGGCCTTGCCATGGGCACCATTAATTTTGACCATTTGACCTTGATGTTTGACTTACCTTTGAAAATTTTTATCCTTTTCCATATCTTTTTAATGGTTGTTGCTGGGGCTTTCATATTTCACAGGTATATTCCTCGGGACAAGAACTTACTTTGGGTATACCAACATATTATTTGATTTGCATTTGAGAAAGTTTAACCTTCGCTATAAGTTGCCATACGGGGGCATCAGTGTTTCACAAATATATCTTGTTTATATTTATTTTATATGTATATAGGATATTAGCAGCAAACTTGTTCAAACAACTGAACTGTTACAGTGACATTAGCTGTGTGTCTTCGTTCCATACTAGAATGAAGTAAGGAAAGCGGGTATTTTTCTGCTGAGAGCTCGGGTGAAGTAAAGCTGTCAGTGCAAAAATTGCACAATCGATTTCTAGAGAAATGTTTTTATGTGTTTATTGATGCGTATCAATGTAATTAAACTTCACTGTATAGACACGAAATACCGCGGAAGAAAAATTATTTAAAAAGGCATTTAATCTATACAATATCGAAAACTGAGATTACCAGACAACACGTCCATATATGTATTTTGAATGTTAACCTGAAGTGTGTGTATGTTTGAATGTGACCTTTTTTGATTTTGAATTGACATAATTTGGCTTCCACGTTATATGAATCGAAGACGACATATAATTAGAAGAACATTAAAACCTGGATTTCCGGAAAGCAAGTCTAAAGAGTGAAGAAAAGGATTTAAGACAGTTGACCTTCAAACTTCCTCGAAGTGTACCCAGACCTTGAGCAAAGAGAAAAAGACATTATAGACGAAAGTGGCAGATTTTCTAGGTGCATATTTTTTTTTTCAAATAGTACAAAGTAAAGATTAAGAGTGTGGTAATCTGAAATATAGATAGATTCTAGTGTATATCTTATCATCGTGACTGCAGTTTATTTAATATTTTGGAGTGTTTTATTTCTATCTAATTACAGGCATATGTTTTGTAAAAAACAGGATATAACATTTATCTTTCTTGTTTCGGTCATTTGCATTGAGCTAATCATATTATTGAACCTGCAAACAAATGTTTATATTTCAAGATGGTTCAACCCATAATTGTTTACTATAGGCCTAGCCAACAGAAAAAGAATTTAAAACCATTATATAGATTTATGGAAACGATTTCTTTTAGGATTTTGATTTTGGAACTTTCGGTTTCTCACAATTTTACTTCCTTGTTTTGTTATGAGTATTTTATACCCGAAATAACCTGTAAGATTTATTTCGTTTGCTATCTCTATCTAGTTGTGAGTTTCCTAATGAAGTTAATATTGATATATTATTTAATATTTCTATCTTCATTGTGATCATTTATTATTATTTCTTGCATAATTTCTTCTCTGTTGTTTTACTAAAGATTGATGCAAGACAGTTCATAAATGATGACATATAGGCCTCCTGTTTATAAATACTCAGTTATCTCTTTATAAAAAAAAATGTATAATCTTGAACACAACCAAATAATTATATTGCCAACAAAAGATAAGTTTTTGAGTTCTGCCTTAATCAGAATATATTTTGACTTGCAGAACATCCTATATTTGGGGATATGTACAATCTAAACGACCTAGGTCAGTTTGAGAAGCATTTGGACTTTCGTAAAAATCCACAGAACTTCGATAAAGAGAGTCGCCCAAAGGTTGGTCCCGGGCAACATTACGTGGATTATGATTTTCCTCTAAAAGTGGCAATGGGGAGAGAGTTAGGTAGACAACATCTTGAATGGAAACGCCCACAGGTATGTTTATCTGACAGGACTGTTTCAGTATGATATATTATCCAGCAAGTAGTTTTCGTGACTTTTGAAGGGCTTTTCAAAGCTTACTATATCCATAATTGACTGATTTTTCAGAAAGGTAAATAAAATCTAGTTTAAAAAAAAATCAAAATAACAATTAACACGAAATACATTATGTAAGAGTCAACATTTTTAAGTTCAAATTTTAAAGAGAACAAATGTAAAACGCCTCTGATTACCGAGTATCATACATTTATAAAAAGTTATTTAAAGATGTCAAATTCCCAATTGAAAAAATGGATTCGAGACCATTTATATCCATTTTAGTTTTATTAAACTCAATTGTCTTCAAGTCTGATAGAAAGATGTTGTACTTCAGAGATTCATGGCTACTTTCTTTAATTTTAAAAACTTTGATTGATTGATTTTAATTGAAAAAACATTAGCAATAAAAATATTTATTTTTAATTTTTGCATAATTAAAATCTCACAAAGAGTTCACATAAAATTGATTTTGTATTCTTTTTTCTTACTTGATATTGTATTTTTAATTAATATATAATTATGCAATGTGTAAAGTGCAACTGATTAAAACTAACAAAAATGACATTAGCATTTCACTAGAAGATATACAATGTCTCTTTTCAAGGAGTTTGCACGTATTCCCTGCTTATTCTCTGAGGGAACTAGTCGTTATGACATTGGACAGGGATCTATAGGGACATGTTGGTTCCTGGCTTCAGTGTCTAACGTCGCCGATAAAGAACACCTCATCGAAAGAGTAAGCTCCCTTCTATGATGACATTTTCGTTATAGATATTAGACGTTAATTCAGTTGTTTGAAAATACATATAATGCATATATAAGTATCTTATCTGATTATTAATTGTATAACTTGATTATTGATTTTCATTCTATATATTAATTATTTAAGTTTATTACTGCTTAAAAACACGGCTGGAATGTTTTCTTTAAATAGTTAGGCACGTCAATGTTAATTTTCTTTTGACTTCAGTACTTGTCCTTCCATGTGTTCAATTGCGACATTTTTCAGAGGGGTTTTATTTTCAGATTATTCCAAATAATTCTTATCCTGTGGGAACCCCACAGTATGATGGGATCTTCCACTGTCGGTTTTGGAGATTTGGTCGCTGGGATGACGTTTTCATTGATGATTATCTACCTATTATTAATAGAAAACAAATTTACTCCGCTCATTCCAAAACTGATCATAATGAAATGTGGGTGTCCTTGCTGGAAAAGGCTTTTGCTAGGTATCTTTACATTTAAGTATTTATAAACATGTACTTTATTGTTTTATCAACCGCTGTTCTAGATGTTTTCCTGAAAGTCTTTTTCCAAAAAACATGAAAATATTCCAAACTCATCCGAGTCAAAGCTTAAAGATAATGTATATTTAAAAATATAATTATAGGAAAGACTGAATAAAGAATATTGAATTAAAAATTCATTCACATGGACAGATACTGCATGCTGTCATAAACCCATGCGTAAACGTTTGTCTCCGAAAGTATATTTATTTGGGTATCTGGGCAACTATCAAAGAAACCACAATTTGATCTATAAATCAAATATACATGCACATCAAATTGAGAATAAAAAATGTGCAAGTGAGCATGTGGCCCTTGGTCTCTTCTATGTTAGTACATATATTTCATATGATAAATGCACCACCATTCTGAAATTAAAGAAATCGCTGAAGTAAATTCTGTTTTAGAAAGACTTTTGGAGGATTTTGTGTAGAAACTGCGTTAAATTTTAAATCTATAATAAGAACTTGATGAATTTGTTGTCAAACCAAAGAAAATTTATTTTTTTTTTAACGTATAGCAATTTTGATTATGGAAATGACAGCTTCCTGAAATGAATCCTGCAAACTTTCATTAGTACTTTTATGATTTTTTTAAAACCCTGATCGGTCTGCTGGATAAAAATAAATATACCAAAACCTCACTGCACATCTACAAGATATACCAATAATCATACTCCAAAAGTTTTATGCTATTGCGTATGTTAGAAGTAGTTCTGGAAACCAGGATTTTGGTAATATAAAAGTTTTTGACCCAAAGGATAAAAATAAAAATTGTGAAACCTTAATGCATATCTTCACGACAATGCCAATCAGATTTAAAAAGATAAATTGGTTTCTGCTTTAAATATATGGCGCGACAGACGGATGAACAGACTGTCCTGGATAACAACAATATTCCCAAACTTTCTGTAGAAAATACAGGCATAAAAATTGAAGAAAGAAATACATGTGTAATTCAAATTATTATCAAAGTATTTAAATCCTCGAGAGTTATTGAAAATAATTTATTAACAAAAAATATTAATAATAAAATAAAGGTTTTTAATTCACATAGTTCTTTGAACAAAAAAGGTACGTGTACATTTTTCCAAATTATTCCCCAGGATGCACGGGAGTTTCCCGGAAGTGTCTGGGGGTACAGCAGCTGACTCCTACATGGCTTTAACCGGAGGAATTCCCGAGGACATCGTCCTAGAGAAAATGTCTATGGATCCCACTCAACTTCACACGCGTGTCAGGAATGCCCTTTCTTCAGGAGCCGCCATTACGTGCTCTGTTCCGGTAAAATTGCACTGACAAAAATCAGTAAACTGAAAACTGAATATTCAGCGAATGAGTTATATTTCAAAATTATATCTAATACAGTCAACTTTACCATATATTCTCACATTAAGCAAACAAACAGACTGGTGATTATTTGCTGAATTCTGACCATTTCTGCATTGGAATTTTTAATTAATATAAATTACTTAAAAAAATACATGTTCACTATATTGCATTTTACAGTCGGAATTTAACAACCAATATGGTTTGGTAGGACCACACGAATACACACTAACGGGTGCTGTAATGGTATGTAGATATAAGAAAAATATATAAGAGATGCAAGCAGTTAAAGAAGAAGAAATGCAAAAAAGAACATAATAAGTCATATCTCAAAAAACAATGCTTTTGTAGCTACTAACCTTCACTTTGAAACAGGATTGTTTTAAAGCCTTCTATATAATTACTTGATATTAGTACCTGAAAATAAAAATTTTTCTGCACATGTTCAAGTTGCAATGTTTATTTTGATTCCAGTCAAATGGAGTTCGATTATTTCGAATGAGGAATCCTTGGGGTGAAGCAGAGTGGAAAGGACCCTACAGCGATGGGTATATATATATATATATATATATATATATATATATATATATATATATATATATATATATATATATATATATATATTAGGGATGGCAATTTGCAATTGGTTAACCGGTTACTCGGTCGGAACGATGGTAATCGGTTAGAAAATCTGTAATCGGTTAGTCGGAAAAAATTAATATATGTGTAAATCTGAACAAAATTTCATAAAAAATTCAATTAAAAGATGCAAATAAAAATATCTGAAATGTTAGCATTTTCACCTATCTATTTAAGCTGATTCGGAGATAATTAAGGCTCTCCTGATGGGGATAATTTGTCAGTTTTCGAGATGTTAATTGTTGTGTAAACACCATGTCGTTACCCAACCTGTCTTGTTTTAAATTAAATGATCGTTGAGTACTGTGAACTGATTATAATGTGTACCTTACCTCTTCTATCCTTTGCCGTTACCTATCAAATAATATTTGCCTATTAAATAAACATTGTAAATTAAGTGATAGTTCGGACTTATTTTTGATAATGGTGACAATGCAGAATGAATTTGCACGACATCTCTTCTGAATTTTTTTTTTTTAATGTAAATGATACTTCAAGCATATTCAATGGGTTTCTTTCTTTCTCTCCCTCTTATTAAAATTAAAATAATGTATAATGAAATAATGTATATATCTGATAAATTATAAACATGCCGGTAATATTTATTTACTATATGTAACATTTTTTTTAATAGAGCTTACAATGAAGAAATATGTCGATAATTTTTGATACGATTAACCGATTAATCGGTCGGAACGTCTAGCGGTTAACCGATTGGCAATTCTGTATTCGATTGCCATCTCTAATATATATATATATATATATATATAGAGAGAGAGAGAGAGAGAGAGAGAGAGAGATCGAGATCGAGAGATCACCAATTACATTAAAACTTGTAGACAATTCATATATTCAGGTTTTCTAAGTCAACGAATAAAAAAAAATTACTTTGATACATTTAGAATGAAAGAGTGCCCCAGTTGTATCTTTAATTGTACAATGAATGTTAAAAAAATAATTTGATACATGTACCACAATACAGAATTACTCTACCCCCTTGTATTTAATAAGGTGATCATCATTAAAATGAATGTGAAATAAGAGTCCTGATTTATAGGAGTGACGAATGGAAAAGTCTACCAAAGTACTTTATTGAGGCCCCTAACAAAAATGATGGGGAGTTTTACATTTCACTGGAACATTTTCTTTATTTCTTTACAACTGTTACAATCTGTCATATCACACCTGACTTTGACAGAGATGGGTCTTCAGACAACCTTAGTAAGTCTTAAATTATTCAAATCATTCATTCTTTTTTTTTTTTAAATGAGATTGAAAAAAAAAATAAAACAAGTAGCATTCAGTAAAGCTTTACTTGCTGTGGAATGAATTGTATGTCATATATATATATATATATATATATATATATATATATATATATATATATATATATATATATATATATATATATATATATATATATATATATATCTTAGTAGGTAAAACTGATAATTAAAAATAATGGTTGTTTCAGAAGTTTTATTCAAAGATAACAAAAAAAAAAGACACGAATATAGACTTTTTCAAATATTTCTTTATTCAAAGAATACTGTACATCTCTTTATGGGAAATGGGAGGGCAAAGAGGCCGCAGGATTCAGAGAGAAAATAAACAATCCAAAGTTTCAGTTTGCAGTTGATGAAGCAAGTAAGCAAATGGTTTAAATACTGAATTAAATATTTAAATTAATGTATATACTATTCAACTAAATCTCTCCTTTCCCTGGTGTATTAATGAAATGTGAAGATAATGAACGTGCAGTAATCATGCTCAAAATTTCAATTAAACACTACAGATTGTGAACAGGGTAAGCATGAACCTCTGAAAAGAGAGGTAGGATCAGATGCCATGGAGAAGTGACCATCCAATGTCGATCGGTCACACCTGCTCCTTGTCATAAGATCGGATAAACAGAAAAAATCCGTAAACAATATATATGTATGTCATTCTCTGCGATGTCTTTTATTTCCAGTTCAATGGGATACTGAATAATCGCAGGAATGAAAATGAATATTGTTAATTGATAAAACGTCATCGATGCATCTTTTTTTTTAAAATAGAGAATTTAATTTTAATATGGGTTAATTCTAATTCCAGTATGAATTTCCCTAAAGGATAACTAGCATGTCTGCATAATTATCTTGCATGTAGATATAACTATCTTACATATAGACATAATTATCATGCATGTGATATAATTATCTTACATGTAGGTATAATTATCTTGCGTGTTGGCATACTTTTCTCGTAAGTTGACGTAATTTATCTTGGATGTAGGGGACAGAATTATGCCATCATAAACTACATAAAAATTTAGTATTTGTTTAAATTCGTTGTAGGTGTTGATGTATACGGAGACGTCCCTTTTGTTGTGCAGATCATACAGCGAACAGAACGAAGAAAGGCCAGTAAAGTTGGCATTCGTGCTGATCTATATAGGGTAGGGCTAAAAATTTGATATTATCGATAATCCCAATAGGTAATGGTTATGATTCGGTTCTTAAAGGTGTGTTTGAGGACATTTGGAATATATTACTACAATTATCTCCCTTTTTTTTAAATTACAAAACATAATTTGAGCGTATCAAATATAAAAAAATGTTGATGTAGATCAATAATTTAAATACCTTCAAGTTGATAGTCTTTAAATTTCAAACGCGGCTCATTTTGATTATGACAAGTGAATGGATAAAACATCATGATTATAATTGCTCAAATTGAAGTAAAAAATTCTCTTTTTTGTGGTGTCTCTATGTTTATGTAAACAATGGTGAAGATTTGGACATGCACATTCTTAATGCATTGATTAAATATACCTGTTTTACAACATTTTCTAAGGTTCTAGAAAGCGGATCCAATGGCCTCCTAGTTCTCCAAGAAGAGGGAACTCCTAGTAAAAATAATCATTACTTTGGAAGTGTCCAGACTTCTTTCCGGTTTTCTTTGAAGCCAGGTAGATACGTTTGCATACCATCCACCGGAGATCAGGGCAAGGAGAAGGAATTCCTACTGCGACTTTACAGTGCTGGCCCACTGGGGCATATCAAGTATTTCAGTTCTTAAATGTCAATATGTATTGTATTGGTTAGTTCACTGTTTTTTTCTGAGAATAATTCTAAATGCATTATGAAATTGTGTGTAAAATGAAGGAGGGGCACATGCCTGTATTGCAAATTTAGATAGTTCAATCAATCAAATAATCCCCACTCTTTGAATGTGTCACTGTCTTGTCCGTAGTGATAAACAGAAAGGGACAAGAACCATGAATTACATTATTCTCCCTTTTTGTAATTTAATTCAGCAATCATCACGTTTCCAATTGAAAAATGTCAGAACAGAAAGTATAATGATTATTTTTCCCTATAAACCTACTAGATTAAATATAAGAAGTCCTCTAATTCGAACACACGGTGTGACTACATCACTTATAGCTCGACATTTTATTTCTAGGCCTTACTTTATACTGTTATAACATCAATTTCCATTGTTTGAAACTCTCAATTCTAATGAAGTGAGTCTTATTTCTTATTCTTCAGAAAAGTAGATTCTGACACAACAGTTCTGAACTGCAATAAAGAGGGAACAGAGCAGTATAGTATGTTTTTTAAAAATAGAATTCTTTGACATTTCAATGACGTACGATGTAAATGGCGAAAATGTAGCTCATCTTTGACATTTCGTAAAATTACTTGCATATGACAAAATGCTTTAATGTTTATAATTTGAAAGTGTTCTGATAGATTTCTTGACCTTGTCTAGATCACGTGAAGTGTGTTACGGGTCAATGGACAGCTGGGTCAAATGCAGGAGGACAGATTAAATACAACAGTTTCCATACTAACCCACAGCTAAAGATTGCTATTCCAAGTATTAAAATTTGGTGCTTTTTTGTGCATGGAACAGAGTAAAAGTATACTAAAACTCAAAGTCCATCAAATAAACTATTACTGTGATGTTAATTAATCAATATAACATTGTACATGATTCAACTTTTGAATTATGAAATGACAATTACATCATGCTAGGGAATTTGTATACGCTATGAACAATAAAGTTAATTTTCAGGTTCACAGAAAGTGAAACTTCAGCTATTATCGGATCCTAAATATCCTATTGGCATCAAAATGTTTAAGGTAGGATTAATTTTACAATATTCAGTGTTTTCCAATGTACCACATCGCCCTGTCTGTGTTATTATTTTTAAGTATTACATCTTTTGTTTTTTTTTAATTTAAAATTTGAAATAACTTAAATTGGTAATTTAATGAGAACTGTCCAACTAAGGTAAACTATAAGAATTTTCCTCTAGTCTACACATAGACATTTCTGAATTTCTCCTAACTCACCTTCAAACAATAGCCTTTAGAAAGCATATATTTATGTGAACGTTACATCAGGTTGACGGAGACCCGGTTCCGGCGAGTTTGGATTGGCTACACAAACATTATGGCAGTGCTACTAGGACTGTTGATGGGGATGATGGGCCGTTCGTGAGTGGTACTTCTGCTGATGCTGAATACTTTCTGCTGTCCGGGGACTACCTATGTCTCCTTCACATGGATTTACCCAACACTGAGACGAAATTCGCCCTCGTCATAAGATCCACCACTCCCCTGTATGACCTTCAGTAAGTAGGATAAATCTAGTTGTAACATTTGTCATACATTAGATTATCAACTTGGTTTATGTTTTCTACATATATGCATATGCATGGATCTATCAAGATAATATCAAATTAATTATTAACCTTTATTTATTGCCATACATTTTTGTACGTCCCGCCGTCCGTTTGCATACGTCAATAAATCTTCATATTTTCGACTTTTTATCCAGAGATTAAAGAAACTTGTTTCAAAAAACTTGTCACAAAGTTTTATCTGGGTGAATTAGTTCATATCAGTTTATGGAGGTCATAAACCTTCTAAAAGGGAGCTAAGCTCAAAATAGAGAAAAAAGAAGTTGGGTTAGTTTTTTTCTATGGAATAAAGTGTTGTGGGAGGTGGGGGTGGAAAGCATCTTAATACAATGTTCCAGTTATTTCCAATAAATAAATATACATTGAAAACATGCTTGTATATACATGTACACAGGTACCACGATTCTCTTGACCCACCTTGTTCTAAGAAATTATCTTATAAGAAACCTTTAATGAGCTCACTTTCCAAATGGTGCAACGAACAATTTTAGTCTCTTCTGGATTATAAATGGTATAGACTTTTTCAAAAGAAATTCTTTAACAACTTTAATAAAATCTTCTCCATAGCATTTGCAGCACATTTGTTAACACAAAATTTCTGACTCTGTCTGTTTGTTCATCAATATATCTGCCATGATAGTGATTTTTTTTTTCTTCAAATAGTTGTTTTTCGAAAATTGTTTCCGAAATCTTGTCAACAAATCTTAAACTTGTGTATTCTGATGTATTGTTTTTACAGAAGTGTCACGAAGGATTTAATCCAGGGTGACAATTTACGTGTGAAATTTTGTTACAGTAGTAAAACATGGCTCAAAACTGGCCTTGGAATTATTGTAAAGAGATCAATCTCCATAATGATGTTGTGTAATACTCAGATGACTTAAAAGTAAAAATTTCAAGTTTATTTGTTGATAACTCATTATAATAAGTTTTATTTCAAATTTCTTCTTTCCAGAACATACCAAATGGAATAACAGTTGGAATTATGAAATGGAATTTCTTTTTGTGTTGTAGACGTGTTTGATGAACATTTTAGATATTTATTTTGCCTTCACTTTTTATTGTTAATTCTAAGTGTAAAAGTTTCAATGCATGGAAGCAGCTTTACCTGTAAATATCATTCATGTTATTCATTTGTTTTGTTTTAAATCAATTATGACGTAAGAGTAATAGTACCCATGCCAAATTTTTCTGTAAGATCCATGATTAGTAATATCTATTTCCTGTTAATGAAATCATTCATAAAAATAATATAACTGTACGTTAACTACGTTTTGATCAGAAATGTATTTATACATCCCTGATTTTTTGACAATAAAAAGTGTTTTACTATCTGTAGCATCTCACTAAAAAGCATAGTTACTTAGAAATTAACATTTTAGATTATCTGTTTGGACATGTATCATTAAAGTAAAATTAATTATAAAGTTTGTGTTATAATTTTGTTTCATCGTTCAGTAAGCCAGCGTCTTTAACATTGGATTAATATTAGAAAGTTTCCGTATATGAACCCGCTTCCAGAAATATGTTAAATCTGTGTCATAAGAAACCTTTTTTAAAACTGAATTTCAGTAAAGGTTTAACTTTCGTCCTCTTGTTTACGCATTGCTTTGCTTCCATACATCTGAGATCTCTCGGAGAAAAGTCAATCTGATGACTATCAAGGTCCAATGCCATGTAAAGAAGCAAAACAGATTGAATTTTCCCAGGTTTTAGGTTTTACAATTTTCAGAGTTGCCAGACTTTGGCTATCACTTAAAACATAAACATGACCTCAAAACTTGTTCCATGTCATATCAGTCAAATCTGATGTAATCGATATGTCATAGCTCTTAAAGCCTATAACTCGTATCTGATTGATTGATTGTGTGTTGTTTTACGTCCCACTGGAGAATTTTTCACTCATATAGAGACGTCACCATATACCGGTAAAGGGCTTCTATAAACCTTTACTCGGCACTCAGGGCCATTGAGCAGTGAGGGATCTTTATCGTGCCAATGCCTACCGTGACACGGGGCTTCGGTTTTTTAGTTCTCATCCAAAAAACACCATATATCGGTGAAGGGCTTCAAATTTAGACCTTTACTCGGCACTCAGGCCCATTGAGTAGTGAGGTATCTTTATCGTGCCAATACCTACCATGACAAGGGGCCTGGGCTTTTAATGTCTCATCCGAAGGACCCGAAACTTGCACTCCGATGTGCCGAGCGCTTGGCAAAGGTACAGTTGCAACCTTTTTTTTTTATCGATTTAGGTCAGTTGCGGTCGTGATTCGAACACACGACCTTCAGATCACGGAGCGAGCGCTCAAACCGACTGAGTAACTCGTATCTGGTGCAGTGTACATGTGAGTTGATTTTAACCTGTATATTAGTAAATATTATCCATCTATACAAACACCAGCACTCTTGGTTGGTCTTTCTTTATTTGGCAGAATCGAATAATAAATATGACATCAATTTACCCAAAAGCACTAAAATATACATGTACTGACAATAGCCAGGAATGAACAAAAATATTGCACATTTAGATGGACCATGTTTCTCAATCATTGACTTAAAGTTTCAAGCATGAGGTTAACCTCACTTACATACATGCCTTAAAAAATGATCATTAGATAATATGATCCAAGGAAAGTAATAATTTACTTCAACCTATGCAACACAGGTACATATTGTCAAGTTTCAGTTCGTTATACATTTACATGAAATAAAATTTAATATGGCTTGGAAGTGTCTGAGTCTATACATTTAACATTTTTAAGGCTATCTGTGGGCAGAAAATTCCATCAATGAAATCAGATTTGTAGATCACAACCTGATTATCAAATACAGATTCCAAAATGTTCACCTACTGTTCAATCTACCATACGTGTATCAACAGTTTACAATCCTGTGGCAAGTACCGTACTATCTAGTCAAATAAAAAAGTTAACATTATTATGAGTTAGTATTCATTTGATACCTGAATTACGAAGTTATGTTCTGATCTTAAAAGATATATCAATAATGCAGTAGGCCTACATAAAAATCCACAGCTACAATATAAAACTAATAATAAATTAATCTTTCTTTCCAGCAAATTTATACAATCTGAAGAATTGTTCAATGAAAAATGCAATATTTGATCCATGATGTAACAACCAATACATAATTAGAACAAGATTTTACTAACACCTGATGCTGAGAGATTCGGCACCATGACAACTCAGGTTAATGTACACTTAGAAATTGTTTATATTCTACACAGAAATCACTTGCCCAGAGCTTTTAATCGCTGATCTAAACTCTCGCAATTAGACTTCACTGTTTTACTATTTTCTTGAAACATCACTTGAAGCTGGAAAAAAAAGGCAAATTACCTCATCAATGAATATTTCTTTATGATTTACATTATATATTGTACATTTGCAGTGTTGGAATAAGTTATGTCAGCAAGCCTCCACATACTGTATATAACTAAATTTTCGCGACACCTTATTTTTGAGAGATAGTCATGTACTCTTGATTAACAACATAAAATTTTCACGTATTGTGGTTATTGCTTTATATAATCTTTAGAAATACTAATATATGTGAGGTGAAATTTTCGCGTGCACACCGTCTCAGGTAAAAGAAGTGATTTACAGTAAATGATGCACTGTTAAACTTGGTAAATTAGTGCAAGATCATTTATTTTCATGGAGGTTTAATTTTCTTGTTTTTCATGGCCTGGTGAGACCCAGGAATGTGTGTCCTTCATGAAACGTAAAATTTCAGATAGTACTTCTTCAAACTTGAAATCAAGTCCCCTCAAACCAATAATTTTTCCTCATACCACCAGAATTTGGCCCCACAAAAGTACATTATTTTATGTTTATACATCAATTAATAAATGTTTTATCATTGTACATGTATAAATCAAAGTTGCATGATAACATGTTATGTTAGTCTAACATTTTTTAACAAGATTCTAGTACAGATATTTGCAATATGAATAACATATTTTATCGCAGTTTAATCTATATATTATTTTCATGTTAGAAAAACTGCAGAGGTTATAATAATTCTACATTTAACATCTAAATATTCTAAATATTAAAGAAGATATGTGATTTTATCCCCAAATTTTCTTGTCTAGAAACTTTTGATACATGTATAGAATTCTTATAATTATGGTCTGGAAGTAAATGTTAAATCTCCCTATTTATTTAACATTTTTGTCAGCTAGCTGATCCTGAGGAAAAAAAATTAAATGTTAAGTTAATCTCTAGTATATTATTTATAATACATATATATTTCTATTAAGAACATTTTACCTGTTTCATCATATCACCATGAGCAGCCAGCGTTGTTGTAATCTCCTGTTGTGCTGTATCCAGATGGGACAACAGCTGACTAAATTGTAAGGCTGGAAAAAGAAACAAACAAGAGAATTAAAACCATTTTACAGTACTTTTTCAATACCATTGCAAGATATTTGGAATTTTTCCTCCTGTGCCATTTTAAATTTAAAAAAAATTTTATGATTGTGATGTATTGAGAAAAAGACCGTCAGAGAGTTTTATTATGAAAAGAGTAACAAAAGAAAATATGGGTAACAAATTCACACAGTTTTCGGAACCAGTAAGCATTTAACTGATATTTTACGTCCCTAGACATGCAATACATGGAACTTTAGTACACATACACCATAGATAATATAAACACTATATACAGCTTGGGGTCCAATATTAAATTCACATATTGTGTATAATGTTGATTGGGTATATGCCCTATATGTTACTATTACCTTGTTCATGAAGTTCTTTTAGAGACACAAGTCTGTCCACCACATGTGGAAGAGTATCTCTCACTGAATCCCATTTCTTCACCATATCATACAGTTCTGATACCTACCAAATTGAAATCCATTTTAAACATTTCTTAACAAAAACATATGTGTACCTGAAAAGTCTTTCTTTGCCTCATATCTTAAGTACATTCACAAATTTAATTACAGCAATTTTGACAATATCAATGAAAAGACTTTCTCCAGATTTAAATACATGTACATTTATACACATATGACTTTGTATACATGTCTTTACCTTATTTTGTCTTTCTAGGTCAGCTTGCCCCGTTTTCTTGTCGGCTATCTGATTCAGCTTCTGAAGAACACTTGCTAGTCGAACATCAACTTGGTCAATATTACTGGGCTCCAACAGGGAAAGTTTTGAGTTAAGAACTCCAACAGACTCCTGTCAGAAATGCAATTTATTGAAAATTGATTTACAATATTTTACATTTTACTTTTCAGCCAAGTTACTTTATTTTAGGGTGGGGTTAGGTTGGGGTTGATCATAAGTTGTCAACTGTGATGTTTATCAGCATTAGTCATATAGATTTAGGAAACTGAATGTGGTGACACAAGGCACAGTAACAAATAAAATAATTAAATTTTATGTTTTCTTTCCTATTTTAATAGAAAAAAAAATTCAGTACCTCAAAACCCAACTTTAGGCAGGATTCTATCAGAGCATCATTACACAATTGCAATGTTCAAACAAGATATAAACATGATAAAAGTAACTCACCACTACACCTTTGTTATCAGTGTCTGCTGTAAGTATTCCCTAAAGAAAGGAGAAAAACATCATCCTAGAATTATATTTTACAGATTGAATTACATTTTACCAAAATAGTGGAAATCAGCACCACTTAGAAATACTACCCTTGTCTTTATGCACATCATGGGCAACAACTATTTGTTAAGGTCTTTTTAACTACTACTACTTAGATAAATGCTTTATGCAGAGGAAACAATCCCAAGGTCTATAAGGAACTGTGTAAAATTGAACTGCATGCAATTATGTTATAATATTCTTCTTTTTTCTGTTATCTGTCATATGATTTCTTATTTTGACTGTATGCCAACATGGTGATGTCAATAAACTGAATTGAAATTGAATTTCAACAAAAATAGCTAGGTAGCTGTATATGTTCCCAGATCATGTATCTTACAACCTATCTTAATGTCTTATCTGCAGCTGTTCATATGCAACTTACTGAAAAAATCACTTCCATTGAGTATTTTTTTTTTGTGTGTGTTTGTGTGTATGTGAAGAAATCAATTACTGAAAAAAGTTTGTCCATACTGACCACTTTGTCTGAGCTCTGGCCCAGCACAGCTTCTAATCTCTCTAGTCTCTCCTCCAGTTTGGCCAGCTATTAAATTGTTAATTTCTATTTATGCACAGTAATGCTACATGTATATCAACTTAATATTACCAAAACAGAAAAAGAGATGATACTGAAAATACATGACCAACAATAAATCTTTCCACAAAGGCAAAGAAACTTCAATAGCTTTTTTTGTTATAGAAAAAAAATTATACTCAGTTTACATTGTTTTTTATCTTGAAGGTTTTTTAAACATAATATTATATTTTACTTTGTTCACACTCAAGAAAATGAAACTACTGTAACATTAATCTCGTATATGAAGGATGAATTCTGATTTATACATGTCCGTACTCTGGCATTTCTGCTGAACTGGGCTTGCTCTGGTCTGTAGAAAAGTTCATAGGTCACACATCCACTTCCTGTTTTGGCACCTGATGCTGGCTTTCCCTCTGTTGGTTTATAAGCAGCCAGTTCTGTCAAAAGGCGCCTACAGAAAACATAAACAATCATAGCTAATAACGTGTGTGACTGGGAAATGGCTTGAAAAAACTATTAAGTTCTCCAATCAATTTACAAATCAACTTTAAAGAAAAACTCTTCAAAATAAGCATCAAATTACAACAATTTTTAAAGAAATACATTGTAACAAAGTACAGTAAAACACGCTTACAGCGAACATGCTTATAATGAATTGACACTTATAGCGAAGTGATTTTCATTCCCCGTAGGTTTTAAACATATTGTGAAGCTCAAGGCTAAATAGAATTACGTTTGTAAAGAAGCAAAATTGCCCATCCCTGGCACTTCTTTATAAGGGTTTTTTATTGTATAAAGATATTTAAGACCTGATGAAGAATCAACTAGTTGTGAACATGTACTCTGTAATTGTTTTTATTTTTAAACACCTAAGTTATCATTGAGAAATATCTTACTTCTGCAGTTGACCTTGAGGATCTGATAAATCAACCTTGGCCTCTGGTCCTAAAAGTTTCTCAAGGTGAAGGTCATTGAGTTGGTGTTGTAGATACTCCAGTTGCTTACTGAGGTCCACAGGGGAGGTCTTGTTAGCTGTGACCTCCTTTTTCACATTCTCCTTGATGGTATGAACTTCCTCCCCAAGCTCGCGAATCTCATGCTGGAGTCTCTGAAACTTTTGTTGTGGGGTTTCTATCTTGCTGGACCCATCTTCCAACTGCATAAAATAAAAGCTGAGCAATGATGTTAAGCAGGATGAAATCTTTAAAGAAGGATTTTGAAATCTGCCTCTTTTAAATTTTTTAAAATGCCTCTTCATAAAAACTGTTAAACAAGCACATCATTATAACCTTTTTTAAACTTGTTCAGCATGAAATTCATACACTGGCTATATAAAATCTGATAAATTTTCTTCATTTTTCCTCCCAACTGTATTATAATATACAAGATTAATCTTTGTATTTTTTTTATCATTTTTACCATTTCATATTCTGTCTTTTCAATATCATATCCTGTCCTTCTTGACCCAGTTATTCTATCAGAGAAATCTACAAAAAAAAGGTACTAGAGTTTGAGAGTTTAATTGTTTTCATCATAACAATCTAGGTATATTTTTTCTTAAAGTACAGAATATTAAACACATCTGTTATAGCAGTATTATCAAAATAAAATATCAATCATGATCAATATTGCAGTATCATTTCATCACATGTAGTAACAGAATACTAGTAACTGGCTAAAACAAGACTTTGTATATAAGTAAAAAAAAATGTAAATTGAGAACATCATAAAAACTTGAGGATCTCATACACTTAAACTAACCTAGTTCATCAGCTTTGACCTCTGACCCTTTGAATTTTCCCAGGGCAGCATTAGTGTCCAGTGTTAATTTTTCTATATTATCACTTGCTTCCTCCTTCAAATAAAAGAGAAGTAATCAAACATGAAATTTTTTAACCATTTACATCTATGCACCTTTATTGTGAATATGATATAAATTTGAATATTACTGTATTATATTAAACCTAATTTTATAACAATATAAGACTAGCCAGCAGGAAAACTCCCAACATATAAGCCATCTTCTATGATTTTGCAAATACTGTGTAAGTTTCTAATCTTATGATGGCATTTTTCAAAAATCTTAAATCATTATCCCCCTCAATCATTTTACCAGAGCAATAATCAGTGTTCAGTGTATCAATCGTAATCAATTAAAAGAAATTAAAAATTAAACACACACTTCTCAAGACAATCAAAATTACAGTTAGCATATCCTTTCCTCAAAATACCATGTTACAATGTTTATTACCTGTGGTAGCTGCATGGCTTGGTCATCTTCTGGCAAGTCTTCTGTTTCATAAACATCAGGGGCGTCATGATCCTACAGTCCAAGAAAAAATAATTAATTCATGATTTTACATATTACTGATATTAGTAACATAATTACATTAACTTACAACATACAATTCACAACCACACACACAGAGGGCAAGTCTTTTTACATGATCACATTGGACAGTGCTATTAGATGCACCATATAATAAACATATGATTAATTTCCATTTTCAACCATGCACTTGACTTCTGATTTATGTACAGCTAAATATTTAAGTTGGGAGTGGGAAAAAAAAACAAAGAATGGCAATACTGCAATGATTGGTGTCTCAATATTAACACATCTAAAACTAAGATTATTGTTTTTAACAAAGCAGGTAGGCTCACCAAAACAAAATTTTACTTTGATGATGTTGAACTGGAATGTGTGTCTGAATACAAATATCTAGGTGTAACATTTTGTTCCTCTGGCTCTTTCTCCTTAGCTCAAAAGGAGCTTTATCAAAAAGCATTAAAATCATTTTTAAAACTCAGAAAAAATTTCATATTCTTGAATCCTGACATTGAAACCACTATTCACATTTTTGACCATACTATTAAACCTATTTTACTGTATGCATCTGAAATTTGGGGTTATTTTAACCCATTTACTAAAAAAAAAAAATAGCATCCCCAGCTGTACTATTGAAAAAGTATACTCCAACTTAATTTGTGAAAAACTTCACTTGAAATTTTGCAAATCAATACTTGGTGTGCATAAATCTGCAACTAATTTTGCTGTTTTGTCTGATTTGGGTAGATTCCCCCTGCACTTTGACATTATAAGATCAATGATAAGTTACTGGTATAGACTTGAAAATCTAGGCCAGTCTTTTCCACTTTTAAAAGATGCATATTATGAGTCCAAATCACTGTTTGACAAGAATATATTCCTTCTTAAAATTGGTACAGCTCCATTAATTTTCTTCTCACCAGTATCAATGGCATTCGCGATTTAACTTCAGTCAAAAGACATAAATTCAAACGTGCACTTAAAGATTGTTTATTTAGATACTATATACGGGAATGGAATTCACAACTGAAATCAAATTCTGACAAAAAACTAAGTTGCTACAGTACTTTTAAACAAAATTTTGGTCAGTAAAAATATCTTAATTTACTGAAGAATTTTGATCAGAGGAGAAGCTTTACACGTTTTCGCATATCAGCTCACAGACTTAATATTGAAAGGGGAAGATATATAGGCATTCCTAGAGATGAAAGACACTGTACTAGATGTAACAACAAAACGGTTGATGACGAGAAACATTTTCTTCTTTCATGTAATCATGTTAAAGATGAAAGAAATGTCTTGTATGAATTAATAAACAAATCCTGTAAGAATTTTCACAACTTGGACAGTGATAATAAGTTAACTTGGCTTATGACCAATGAGGATGTGCAAATACTAATTCAAGTTAGTAAAATGATTCTGAAAGCTGGAATATAAAATATTAGTAAATTTATTAAGGTCTATTCTATGTAAAGTACATAGTTTTTATATGTTACTGTGTTTTCCCCCTATATCCTTTAAAAGTGAAATGATTGAGTGCCTTGAGTACTTAGGGTACGGGTTTGCCAGTAAAATTAACTGTGCAGAGGCATCGTCCCCTAGCTGGTACCCTCTGTATTCAAGCTACCTTTTCTACACTAAACAATAGTATTAATATTACTTATTTACTGTTAAATATAATGGTATATTTGTGTATATATGTGTATTATAATAATGTATGTAGGCATGCATATGTATGTACAACTGTGTATACGTATGTGGGTATGTAACTATGTATTTTATACTAGAATGTAAAATACTTATAATCACTTTAAAAAAGGTTGAATTGAGTAGGTACATAATTATATGTTAAGTATTTTTTATATATGTTATTAGTTTTGCTATCACCTATACTTAGGGTACAGGTGTGTCAGTAAGATTGACTATGCAGAGGCATCGTCCCCTGGTGCCCTCTGTATTCAAGCCACACTATATACATGTATTAGCATACTGCTATTATTGTCAATTTCTTTATCTTCCTTCAGTTTTCTTCCTACTCAATATTTTTGATCCAGTTTCAGACTATTGTGATTATGTTGCAAATCTTGCATTTTCATGAGTATCCTACTCGTGGTATTGTGCATCTTTCATTTGTACCCTCATGATAGATATGATTTATATTCTTTCATATTACAATATACTTTAATATTATTTATATGTAATCATTCTGAAATAATTGTATATACCCCCTGAGGGCCCTTGATTGGTGAATAAACATATTCTATTCTATTCATCATCTCTACATTTTTGTATAAGAATACTGACAGGCAGACAGAGACTGATTATTCCAGTTTGATTATCATCATAAACTGGAAGGGATGTAAAAATTAAAAATCATCATTCATGTCCATGATGAAGAATAATACCATCAGTGACCATTTCTGAGCAAGAATGATAACCAAAAGAAGTACTGTCGAGCTGTATGTCTGCATGAAACTGAAAAGCTAAATAGATTGCTAGATTAATTTCATCTATACATTCTTACAATTCCTGGAAGATTGGCATATTTTGGGTCTGCCATCACTGTGTACCTTTCCTATCTGTCTGCAGTTTCAATGAGTCAATATCTGCGTGGTGTCGGGTGGTTACGTTCCGATTCCGTGTTCGACCCGCGTGGTTACGACCCAAGTGGTTTCGACCTACTCTAATATATATCCCTACATGTGAATACCTGAGTACAGGGGTATACACTGTGCGGTAAACAAATGGATATTCGGTAGCTGTATTTTGTATGGCTTCAGAGGTGTGCGTGTCAATAGGTAGTTGTTTCCGTATGTGTAGTCAACATGCAGTGAGAAGGTTTCCTAACATTTTTTTCTACTATCGCGGATGTTGATGAATTTGATTTAGTAATGAATTATATTTGAATAGTTTTTCATAAAAATTAATCAAATATTTCTTCAAATGTACCGTGATCACATATGCACTATCTAAACATTATATAATGTAGGTTTCTCCAAATTAAATTACATACGATAATTAACACAAATATACGTGGTCGATATAAAAAAAAATGTAGATGAAAAAAATAAAATGTAAAACTGTTGAAAGTGTTAATTAATTTCGTTCCGAAGCAATTAATTGTTAATTAATTGCTTGGGAACGAAACCACTCGGGTCGAACATGGATTCGTGTCGAAACCACGCGGGTCGAACAAGTAATGGGAACGTAACCACCCGCATTCATCTGCGTCACTTCTACGTTTGAATACAAAATATGTAACAAAAACAGAATATTAGTGAATTACTGAATATTTTTAAACATTTAATTTCATATATAATTCAAAATTGTAAAAGATGAAAAAATATTGTTTTGCAATTGTTTTTATTGTAGATTGATGAATAACTATTCAAAAAGATTTCTTGATGAACGAAAATTATTTCCGTTTTTATCCGCAAATGAATTTTTCTGCAAGTTTTTTGTCAAGCATTTCAGTTACATTGACAAACATCCACATCAAATCAATAAATTGGAAGAAAACAGAAGTCATAGAGAAAGTACATTGAAAAGCTGAATGTTGACAGTTGATGAGTTATTTTACTGTGTGACAAATGATAGCATTTACTTAATTGGACCCGTTGACTTTGTTGCGTCATTGATGGAGAGTAAAACGGTAATCGATGTTCGCAAGTCTTGAGTATCTTTTGAGGTCGAGGATGGGTAATTGTATATGTGGTCGTGAAACACTTACCATCAATGACAGGAGATTTTACTTCAGGAACCGACTAGGAGAAGGGTAAAGAAATTGTTTTATATCAACATTTAGTCAATAGAGAGAAAGAGAATGCAGTGATAAGCATGATAAGGTGGGGAAGATATATTGTAACAGGAAAGGAGAAAATGTATGGCTTGGCTGGGAACGAAACCGAAACCCCTACGTCACTAGTTAGGCACTCTTCCAACAGAGCTATCCAGGCCAATATATTATGGCCCAAACTTTTACATTCCTCCTGCCTCAAGTAAATTGTCTTTGCCCTAAAAAACACATCCAAGTTCTTATTTGCCCCTGGCAGGACTTTTACCTGCAAGTCCAAAGGTGGTCAATGGCTCCAAATTTGTAACAGGAAAGGAGAAAATATCACTGGACTGGGATTGAACCTGGGATCCACACACTAGTCAGGTGCTCTACCAACTTGCCATACAGGCGAATATCCACAGCCCAAACCATTACAATATAAACTAGCTAAAACACAAAAATGGAACATTGCAACAACAATTGGTGGACAGCAAAACAATATATTCTGTTCCACCATCCTCATTCTAGACCCAACGATAAGCACTTCTCAACTAATTAAGTAATCGAGGAATGATAAATCAATGTACATTATGTAGGTCATAGGGATGGAGAACTGTTTCACTCCTACCAAATTTAGATGTTTGTAATGCTCAGTAAATGCATATATCCTTCTCTGTTTTATTTCTCGAGCTATTGAATCTTTCCTCTTTATTTAGCCATATGAACTGACACTCAACACTCATAGCTATTGGTTTTTACCAAAAATTTTCAGTCAAAAACATATCTTAGGCAAATAAATATTGAAAACACTTTA